CATCCTCGCAAGGATCCTCCCAACACTCGTCGCCGCATGGGTCGCAGTCGTAGTCATCACAAGGATCGGGGCACGGATCGGGGCAAGGAGGAGGAGGCGGAGGATAGCCGCAATGGTCTGGCCGATCAGGAGGGCACCAGCAACCAGGCGGATACGGCGGCTGCCAGGGGCAAGTTGGACCAGCTCGTTTGCCGTTGTCAATCGGGTTCGCAGTTACAGCGAGTCCAAGCAGAGCAGCTGCCGCGATGAGTTGAGAGGAGAAGCGCATGATGAATTGCCCGCCCCGATAAGTTTAATAAGTCTTGTGATGAATGGTGCAATGAAGGTTGAAGTTGTCGACATTTCTGATCAAGTCGCTGGCCGGATTGGACCCTTTATCCTCCATGGGATGAGCGTCTGATGGCAGGTCTGATCGAAGGTTTGGTGGCTGCTCTGAGAGGATACTGAAAGAGGCGCATGCCCACAGACGTGCTCGCAAAGTTTAATATCGGAAGTGGAATGAAAATGGCACTCATACGGCGTGAGAGACTTTCACCCTGCATACGGCAAACCCTGTTTAAACCGGGCTAGATACCTAACTTCGCATTTCTTTGCGTCTGTGCTTGAGAGCCGCGCTTGATGATGACCTCAATTGCTCCGCTCTCTATAAGCCTTTCGTATCATCGAGGATGTCACCTTATGAAATGATATGATCATCGGATTTTTCACACGTGCCTAGATTGCAAATAGAGCCTTTTTACATGGCGCGGATCTGCCGGCGTATGAAGCGTTCAGCATTGTGGCTCCTCGAAACTTTCGCACATAAAAGTGTGAATCGATCCCTCGAAGTTTGAAGCGGATGAATCACAGCTGATACATGCCAACATCCACAACACTTGAAGTCAGAGCCTCTTCACCCGGACCTTCAATCCCCCCTTAGGTCGCAGTAAGGGGCTCGGGTTCAGGAGTTCCACCTTGCCAGTATCGATGACTTCGAACTCGAACTTGCTCAGGACCTCGATCAAGATTGCCTTGAACTCAACCACGGTCATGACCTTGCCGATACACATCCTCGGACCCTGCATGAATGCCGCGTATGCGTGAGAATCAGCAGACTCTCCGTCCAGCCGATCCCATCGATCCGGATTGAACACGTCGCAGTCATCTCCCCAGATGGTCGGGTTATGCTGGACCACGGCTGGCATCATAACCACTGTCGTGCCCTTTGGAATGTGGACACCCTGGATAATCACATCCTCTACGGCCTCGCGAGGTGCGGAGACAGCTGGAAACCATCAGCAAGGCTACTGGCAAAGTATGGCGCACCGATGTTACCTGGACACTGCCATCGCAGCAACTCTCGAGTGAAGTTGTTCAGATGAGGTAGATTCTCAATGTCAATGTAATCTGGGTTTGGTGTGCGCCTTAACAGCTCTTGAACCTCCTGTCGTAGGCGTTTGGTGATCTCAGGATACTGTGTAAAAACATATGTCATCCATACTAAAGAGCTTGCAGTCGTCTCGTGTCCTAGAACGGAATCAGTCTCAGTTGTCGCCGATGTCTTATGAGGGAAGCCGTACCTGCAGCCATGAAGGTGAGCACCTGGCGAGAAGAGTCAATGCACATATCTCCTGAGAGTCTCTGAGTCGTATCATACCTGATTGAGAATATCCTCCTCAGTCCATCTATCTTCGTCTGAAGCGTAATATTTGTCTTCCACCATATATGTCAACAAGTCCTTGACTCCTACGCTGTTGTCTTCTAGACCCCGTTTTCTTCTCTCACCAATTTCTGCAATTCGCTGCTTGACGATAGAACCCAGTTCACCATGCACAATTGCATTGGCATGCACAAAACGCTTATTCGCCTTCAGGGGCAGCCACGACCGTATCGGAATAAAGGCATTTATTGCAACCAGGACTTGGCCCATCGCGTCCGGTTCAAACACCTCATGGTAACAGTCGTGAAAAGAACTCCCTGAGGCAGACCGCAGGTTGTTCAGCTCCTTTCCTAAAGCAAAAACGCCCATGATGTCCAGCATTATCTTCGAGTACGTCGACACGACTATATCGGTCAATATCAGTCTGCCACACTGGCCTGACTGGCCCACTTACGCTCTACAACACCACCGTCCTCCTCAATAGCATGTTCAAAAAGCGCAGTCAGCTCCCTCGCCTTGTCCTGAAACATGGGCACCATCGCCTTGATGTTGGCAACAGAGAACAGCGCGCCCAGGAACTTCCGCTGGCGCTTGTGCTCCTCGCCGGCGGCGAAGACGATGCCCACGCCGACGATGTCGGCGATTAGCCGCCTGAAGAACTCGGGCTTCTCGAACGAGTAGCACTTTGTCTGCAGGATCTCCCTGTGCGCGGCGAGGCTCGTGACCAGCAGCGCGTCCGAGTTGCCGAACGTGAAGTAGCGGATCATGGACGCCGTGGGCCACCTGCGCATCCACGAGACGTAGGGCTCGTTAGGGCTCCCGCTCTTGAACTGGTTGATCGCCTGGCCGATGAGGAAGTGGTGGTCCTAGCAAGCAGGCTGTCAGCGATTTGAGGTTTGGTCCGTTGCATGTGCAGTCGGTACGAACCTTCGGTCCTGGCAGATGTCTTAGTGGAGAGACATAGTAAGGGTAGATGAAGAGCCAGTATGCCTTTACAGCAATGACCTGCGCAATATACAGCCCGACGATTACTTTGAGTGTGTCGAAGCTTGCGAGCCGTGCCAATATTGTTGATTTGGAGTAATCCATTCTCACCTCGTCCAAGTAGTACCGACTATGCTGAAGTAGTTCCAAAATAATCATACGCGAGCTGGGCGTAGCGAGCCATTTCTATACTCGATCTTACAGTTTCTTTTGCGCGGCCGCACGAAGCCCATCCGCCTATCTTCGAATGAAAATGACAGCTTTGCTTCTGGGCAGACCAGGGGCGGCCGCAGTCACGGTATCATTGCAGCGCGCTGCTACATGCGGACGGCGAATAGAAGAACCTCATTACTCAGCGTGCCCCCGTCTGTACATATAGAGTGCCATTGAAAGTGGTTATACCTCAATTGCTTGCATGCAGGAGATGCCTCTAGTGCTGCTCTTGCCGTGGCTGAAATAAAGATGTGTGGTGTGCTGCAATGCAAGATCCCCGCCTAGTACTGGGAGGCGCGACGTGGCACTGTCATCATGTGAGAGCAGTGTGGTAGCACAAATCAGCGATACGCAATACGCAATACGCATCGGAGGAACCTCCTCGAGAGGTGTTTGGGAAAGCATATGGATAGAGCATTGTATTTTGGGGTATCGGGATCCATCCTATTTTGAACGCCATCACCACAGCTACTCCCGTGGTTTCTTTCTTCCCTTGACTATTCTACAGGTGCCATTAAAAATCATTGGCCTTGCGGGACCATAACTACATCTGCTACAGTTTCCGGAAAACCTCGCCGAAGATCTCACGGCTCTTCAGCAGGTTGAGCACCCTCAGCCGCTCGTTCTCCAAATGCGCCGAGTCCGTCGCCTGGCCGCAGGGTAGGTGTGCGGCCGGGGCGCCGAACTCCTTCTCTAGAAATCTGATTGATGGGATCGAGCCACCTTCGCGGATATAAAGCGGTTTCTTCCCCCTCACCTCGCTGTCGTTCGTCGCAGACTTGCCGGCCTTTGCGCCATCCAGATTCCACACCTTGATAATGGCTTGTTCGAGGGTGCGGAAGATTTCATTGCCTGGATCGCCCAGCCAAGGCTCGGCTTTGTTGTCGATCTTTATGCTGAGTTGATTGCTGCTCTCGAGCTGCGCAAACTCATCCTGGAGGAATGAGTGGAGCGTCTCAATGACCTCGTCGACCTCCTGGCCCGGAACCAGCCGCAAGCTAATATTTGCACTCGCGTGGCTGCTAACAAGGCTTCCCTCGGGGCCACTAACTTTGTAGCGATGGATTGTGAGATTAGGCTCTCGCCAGCGAGCCAACAAGCTCGCCTTGAGAGTATCTGCGGGGCCATTGTCGGGGTTTCGTCGCATGAGGATGGAGGTGATGTCGCTATATCGTGCCTCTTCAGCCGGGGTGAGCGGAAGAATCGAGTCGTAGAACTTGGGAATCATGATCTTGTTCTTGGGCCCTTTTAATTTGGCAAGGACCGCAGTGAGGTCAGACAGTGGCTCGGCCATCATGTAGCTGCCATCGACTCCTGAATGAAGATCAGGGTGATTGCTGTCAACGCAGACTGTGGCATGGAGAACGCCACGCAGGCCATAAGTAAGGCAAGGTGTATCGTCATCCAGCCAGTAGCTGTTGGCCAGGAGAACATAGTCGATATGACCGATAAGCGCCTTGTTCTGACGAATCGTGTCTTGAAAACCTCGGCTTCCAGACTCCTCTTCACCCTCAATGAGGAAGATGATGTCTGACTCAAGCTGTTTCGCTTGCATTAAATCAGTGACAGCGTAGAGAGCCGCGATGATTGGGCCCTTGTTATCGCTTACGCCTCGTCCATATAGGTAGCCATTGGTTCCTTTTAGCTGAAAGGGATCTGTGAGCCACTTTGATCCCTTCTTCATCTCCGCGGAAACGACATCATAGTGGCCATAAAAAAGGATTCGCTTGCGCTTCTCAGCCGGCTCAAGCTTGCCACTGAATTTGGCGCAAACAACAGGATTGTGGTGCTTGTCCGTGGAGAGCATTTCGACTTGAGCACCGAGCCGCTTGAACAAATTGCAGAGGAAGCTCGCACCTCTCCGACAGTCCTCGCCAAACTCGGGACGCGAGGACACTGTTTTGTATGACACAAACTCACGCAGAGATGTGAACATCATGTCCTCGGACTCTTCCGAGATCTCCTCGGCAGTAGTTGATTTGTCTTTTACACGCCACACACCGACTGAGTCGTCATTAGCTCCAGTGATGTACAGCTGGTCGCCATGATGGGCCGTTACAACAGATGCTAAAATCTTGCCGTCGTGTGCCTTCCATCGAGAGAGGCAATGATATTTCTGGCTGACTGTTTCGGCTGAAGACGAGGGATGATCCGTTCCATAGTGAACAGTGCTGTGTTTCTGCCATAAGAGTTAGCCATGCTCGACATAGAGGGTTCACGGGAACCTTACAGCAGCAGAACCGGTGGCTGAAGCACTCCAGAGATAGCCCCATTGCATCTGGAGAGTCATGATATCACCTTCGTGAGCCTTGACCACCCGTAGTTTCTGCTTTGTATCGAGATCCCACAGCTCTATGATGCCGTCTATCTTGCCACTGTAGAGGAATGATCCATCAATTGCCAAAGAAAGCACTGATTCACCCTCATCTGTGCCGAGTGTCATAATTTCCTCGATTCCGGGCTCGTCGTCATCATCTTCATCCTCTACAGGAGTGGTGCCCAGCCGCCATAGCTTGATGGTGCCGTCTCCAGCACCGCTAATTAGCACTTCCTCGTCACTGTCGACGTGTACGGTTGGGCCCTTGGCCATCAACATGCAGTATACGTAGCCGTAGTGTGCGAATTGGTAGCACGATGCAGGATCCACTTCCAGGACAGTCTGGGCTTTCGGGATCAAAGCCCATCGCTCATCCAGTCTCCGGGGCGTACTGGTCCCGCCTACTGCTTTCGAGTCGAAGAACCTGTGGTACCTACGATCGGGGTGGTGTGCAGAGTCATGTAGCGCTTTCCGCTTTGGATCCGTGAGGTTTATCCACTGGATCGCCGTATTCTGCGAGCCGATATATACAGTCTCCTGCTGACGGGAATATGCCACCGAGAAGATGTCCCCGACGTCGTGGGTGCTGAATATCTCGTAGAGCCTCTTGAACGTCTTTGGGCACCAGACCGATATAATGGCATCGCCAGCACTGGAGAACAGCAGCGATTGACTGTCATTGTCGGTCGAGGTGGAGGTAGAGGCCGATGCTCGTTTTGAGGGCGGGGCGGGAGACGAGAGGAAGAGGCAGAGGATGCTTCGCTTGTGGGCCTGGATGCGCTGGACGAGCTCAAAGGTGGCCAATGACCAGACGACAATCTCGCCGTCGTGGGTGCCGGCAAAGATGTACTCGTCGTTGACGGCGAGGGCGAGGACGGAGCTGTCGTGCTTGAGCTCGTGGATGCGTTCGGGCTGCAGCTGCAGCTGCGTCTGGCCGTCGAGCTCGTTGCCTGCAGCCGTGGGGTCGACGGGCGTCGCCGCTGAAGGCATTGGGTCTGTGATGGAGGCTGACGATCAGTGGACTGGCATGATCCGGTGTCCTGGAGCATCAAGCAGCAATTGGTGACAATGAGCTGAAAGAAAGGGGAGAGGAGTAGGTCGAGAAGTGGTGTGCAGCAGCTTGCGTTCGAGTCACTGGCAACGCAGCAAGGCTCATGACGGCATTTCCTCAACCGCTGATTTGCCTGGCGCCGTCCCTTGCAGTTGAGGGAAGGTCTAGCCTTCTAGCCTTAGCTGCCGCAGCCCCTCAAGATCCACCAAAACAAGGATCCACGTTAAGGTTAGGGGGAGCCCCGGCGGACCCTCAGCCCTAGAATGCTGGAGCTGATACTGACATCTTTCCCCGGAAGTCGGTTTCGAGGTGAAGTGTGGAAGTGAAGTGTCCGTGCAAATAAAGCTGACTCAACTCACCATGATGCTGGCCACGATGCCACAGCTCCTCCTGCTTCTTGATCTTCTTGCAGCCGTTGCACCCATCGTCCGGTGCAGCATCCAGAGTCATCTCCCTGAAATCTCTCAGCGGCCCGTTGGCGATGCCGACTGCCATCGCTCTGACTCCGACTCCGACAGCCGCCAGCGTGCCAAGCAAGCAAATGGAGTCAGTCTTTCCTCGGTCAGCCAGCCGGTTCGTTACCTGAGCACCATGCAAAAAAGAACAATCCAAAAACAAATAGGACAAGAGACTCTTCAAATAAGACACACTCTATGAGGTGTTTTGAAGGGCCGCCATCGGCTCCGGGGCGTTTTCTTTTGACGAATGACGTGCCTCCAGGGACAGCTGGCATCATACGGCGCTGGGAATGCCCACTGTACGCACTGGACGCAGTGGGCGCAGTGTACGGGAGCACACGGCTCGGCTGGCCGGCGTCGTATCCCCTGAGCAAATGGATGGCAAATGAGACGACACGGATCACCGCTTGGGTCTGGGGGCGCGTCTTTTAGGTTATCGTGTCCCTCACCGCCTGTATGGCGAACTGCCTCTGGCATTGGTGGGACTTGCTGTCCACTGTGACACCTGATGACTCCCTCGAATCTCCATGTGGGCTGCCTGTGGGTGGGCTGCCTGTGTGGTGGAACAGTTCTCATGTGAGTCGCTGCTGAGATCTTCCCGAGACCCGACAGGCTGGTCTCCTTCTCCCAAAGTTTGCCCTGGGGTTTCAAAAGACCAATTGACCACAAGAGAGAGTCGAGCAGAGGTGAGGGCTAGGCGTCATCTCGTCAGCTTCTAGTGTATAAACTGAGCTCTGTGAACTACACTGGAGGCTCACCACATCCTCCTCCTTCCTTCCCACGGAGCCCATGGAAGCAAACTTGGCATCACTAATACAACTTTCGTGATTGACAGTGAGACATTGCGCACATCAACGGGAAGGCAAGGGACCGCCATGTCTCTATCTGTGCCCAATGGGCTGTTAGGCCCTCGCTGTACTCTACACGAGTTTCCACTTTCGAGGTCACACCGCAACACCAGCACTGACGGCGACCTACACCTACTCATGCACAGGAAGTAATCTAGAGAACAGTGCTGGACTTCCTCGAGGCCAAACGGCACTATAATTCAATAGCGACATCGGGTGACAGACTCGGCTGCAAGGGCACCCTGCTTCATCATGTCTTGATGGCATAGGCTAACTTATCAATCCGAGATAAGAGGATGAAGTGTAGCAAGTGCAGGTGCGTTGAATTGCATCAGATCTCCGAACATCCAAGGCAATCTAGATACCGTAGTGTTGTGGCTTCGGATGATAGGGATTTTAATTTTTTTTTTCCCTCCCCCCTAATCTGGAAATCGGTCACGCACCAGCCGAAATGCAGCGTTCGACAGAATAACTACTATGAGATTTGAACGTGACATCTTGTACGGAGGCATAGACAAAGTATCAGCATTTTACCTAGCCAGTCTCAGTCTGCTCAAACTGCATAGTACTAAAGCAAGCGCTACATTAGCTTCGATGGTATAAAGAGGTCAAGTAACTCCGTAATAAGCTGTCAGATGGAAAGAGAGCCGCCGCGGGTGACTCAGCATCGGAGGTGAGACCAGGCGAAATGCCGGCTCGGGGAAGCTCGGACCACCCCTTGGCCCAGAAATTTTGAGCATTTGGCTCTGAGCATCTTGTGTTGGAACAGATGACGACAAAACCTTCATACAGGACCAACGCATCCCACCATCTTCTCTCTTTGCGTAGCAGCCATCCTGAGCCTGTTTGTGCTTTTTCCTTGCCTCTTAAGCGGTTCGTCTTCACTCGCAACAGTAGGGAGAGCAAAAGCGACGTATTGCGCGACCACCAACCCCGTGGCCTTCTGACCACTGCGACCAGACACATCTTCCATCATGGATCACACACGCGATCCCTGCCCTTGGGTCATCCTCAATGACTTTGGAGGTGCTTTCTGCATGGGTGCGATTGGTGGTACAATATGGCACGGCATCAAGGGCTTCAGAAACTCGCCGTACGGCGAGAGGCGGATAGGCGCCCTCACAGCCGTCAAGATGCGAGCACCGGTTCTGGGCGGCAACTTCGGCGTGTGGGGAGGCATGTTCTCGACTTTCGACTGCGCGGTCAAGGGCATCCGAAAGAAGGAGGATCCGTACAATGCCATCATCGCCGGTTTCTTCACTGGTGGTGCATTGGCCGTCCGAGGTGGCTATAAGGCCGCCCGTAATGGTGCTATCGGTTGTGCGGTACTGTTGGCGGTCATTGAGGGTGTCGGAATTGCGTTCCAGAAGATGCTGGCTGGCAGCACAAAGCTGGAGGTGAGTTGATATTGCCCTTATTGATGATCGCCCCAGACTATACTCCACGATGCACGATATGGCTATCTAGACTTCATGAAGCTGACCCAAAATTCTATCCAGGTCCCACAACCTCCGCCGTCAGAGAACAAGGCTTTTGCGTAAGCCACGTCGACACATAAATAATCACGGTCCGACGACATACCACTCTACTCCTTCGACGCTGCACGGATAGCGCCTCCTGTATTTTCCACGGATTTATCATGGTCTCGCATATTGAACGGGCGGGGCGTTGCATCATATGTAGTATAGACAAGGGTTCCGGTCAACGACTCGCAAAAGGGCAGAGCAACCGACAACGAACTCATTGATACAAGCAAAAATAATACCTCTTCATTGAATCTCGCTCTATCTATGAATAACTGGTCTATGGATCTCTGTCTATATCATACTGACATGAACATGAAGGACCTTACTCCTCACTGACCCAATCGCTAATTTCTTCAGGCTGGCCATGACCAATGAAACCCTGACGCTTCGATTCAGTATCATCCCGGAAGAGCTTGAACACTGCCTTCCCCTTATCATCGATCCACGCTCGAATGAGACCACCGCAATTGTGGTCGTCTAAGATATCCCCTCGAACCTCGACCACATCCCCATGGGCATTACGAACGATTGTTGCCTCGATACCGATAATACCACCCTCTCCCTCGCCGGTCTTTCCCCAGCGATCGCCTGCACTCTTCTGCAACTCGCCACCGGGGCCCGTAACATCGCTGAGGGCAACAGCAGACGACTCTGGTTTCCATCGGGCAATGGCAGCAACGGTCCGCGCTGCATTAACTCGCAAGAACGAGTCGCCATTCCCAGTGCCTGAGACGGCAACGGACCGAGTGGTTGTGAGCTTGGATTGCGATGCTTGCTGGATGGGAGTATACATGAAAGGCGTCGGTAGACAATCCGCCATGATGCTTCTCAAAGATGCGCCAAACTCCACGATTGGGCCAGTTTGACGGATATAGTCCATGCCCATCTCCCAGGCACTCTTCTGTCCGGTCCTGCGAGTCGGATCGCCCTCCTCGGTCCATTCCTCCGCCCAGTAACCCGCCCCGATCGCGGGCGTGTCACCAATTCGGCCCGTTAGCTTGTTCGTCAGTCCTCCTGTGCTAGTTGCGCAGCAGACCACTCCATCACTGTCCAAGGCGACTGCTCCGCATGTGCCCTGGGGCAGGTATTCCTCGCTATCCCAGGTAGCCACCTTAGACTTGCCAGCCTTCTCCCGCTCCAGGGCCCGGATGTGCTCATCCCACCGAGGCTGCGTGAAGTAATACGACGGCTCAACCATCTCCAGCCCATACTGTTTCGCGAGCGACTCCGCCGTCCTGCCATGGATCAGGGTGTGGCCCTGAGCAGACGGCGCATCGGGGTTGTTCGGGTCGTACTCCGTCGGTGTCGCGCTTCCCTCGAGGACGTGCCTGTGGTTGCCGCCGAGGTCCTGCTCTCCGTGCTCGAGGATTGCGCGAGCGAGCAAGATGGGATTCTTGACTCGCTGCAGGCCTATGACGCCGACACCACGCTTCTTGAAGCCGCGTGACACCATGACGCTGGCCTCCAGCTCGTTGATGCCATCGCGGGTGAATACGGCGCCGTGGCCGGAGTTGAAGAGCGGGTCGTTCTCGAGGAGCGTCACGGCGAAGGTTGCGGCTTCGAGAGCGGAGGGGAGGTCACTTTTCGAGGAGGCGGTGCGCATGTACGTGTGCGTTTTAGATATCTAGTGGTAAGCATTAGTTATTACTCCATATAATTGAACGATTGCTTCGCATGCATGAGCTTACAATAGTTAGAAGCGCCGTTCGAAGGGCCTCGTACCTCTCTGGCGCGAGGTTCGCAGGCGTGATATTTCCTGCCCCGCCATGGATGATGAGCCGGGGCTTCACTTTGACTTTGGCTGCTGAAACAGGGGTTTGCCGTTTGTATTCCATCTTGTGCCTCTATGGTGAGCTCTCCTACTAGCAACACCGCAAACCGATCACGTAGACGCCCAAAGTTGAGGTTGAGTATGGCAGATTCGGTCTTGGCCGAACGTTATCATAGCTGGAGGCGTGGCTCTAACACCATCGCGGGGTGCTTTGAGCTCACGGCATTTCACCTTCCCTATTCGGCAGCAATTGGAGACTACATAGAATCCAAGACTTGTAAGAAACATCCCCAATCAAACTGCTGACGCGGACAGCTCTTCTCAAGAGCCCCACGCCTCGCACTACAGAGTTGCAATGTATTATAAAGCTTACATCAACGAAGTCCGAGCATGGTCTGTCGCACTGGCGCATTGAGGCACGGTACCGGGCTGTCAGCCCTAAGAGGAACCTCGATCCTACAGGACAGCTCCCCGGATGTCCATGCTGCGGCGTAGAGTGGTGTGGATTGGGCCATATAAGATGACCAGATGGCAGCTCCCACCGTCAACTTCAATTTCATAGGCTCTGTTGTCGTATACTATATTGGCGAAAGCTCCTCGTGCCAGTCACCCTCGACAATATGGGGGACAGGTTGATCGACCGGTTGCCGCCGGCACCGAAGCCGTGCAAGATGCTGGTCTTGGGATTGGGACTGCCTCGATCTGGCACGAAGTGTAAGCCCAGCAGCATACCAGCGATCCTGTATTGCGATTTGCATTAACAGCACCTAGCAATACGATACGCACTGAACATCTTGGGGATACCAACTTATCACACAATGGACGCCATTGCAGCCCAGGACATTCCCTACTGGAACGAAGCCATGGCCGCGAAATATACCGGGAACAAGCGGCCGTATGACCAGAGTGACTTCTCCAAGTTTCTGTGGAAATACGATGGCATCATAGACGCGCCGGCCATGTTCTTCCTGGAGGAGTGGATTGCCGCGAACCCCGACGCCAAGGTCATTTTGAACAAGCGCAGCTTTGATTCATGGTACAGATCGGTGTCCAACACCGGCTTCCGCCTGACAGCTTGGCCGTGGTGGCCATATATCCGCCCGTTCCAGTCCGGGCACCTGTATGCCTGGTACCAGTACGCCTGCACGTGGCTGAACTTGATGGGTCAACAGGGGTACGCGACCAAGCCGCAGCATGAGCGGTGGACACGGGAGAATTACCGGAAGACGTACGACGAACATTACCCCCGTGTCCGGGCCCTGGTGCCTGCTGATAGGATCTTGGAGTTCGAGCTGGGCAAGGACGGGTGGAATGAGCTGTGCGCGTTTCTGGACAAGGACGTCCCGGACCAGCCGTTCCCACACATGAACGAGGCGAAGGGCATGGTTGAGCAGAGGTTGGCATTGATCTGGCAGGATGCTATGAAGAATTTCTTGAAAGTGATGTCAACTACGGGGATTGCCGCTGCAGTATTTGCTTTTGGGTGGATGCGATGGAGAGGTCAACTAGTAGCTCTGGCACGGGGAATTACTCCTCCTGGATGATCTATCACTGTCGCGGCACAGAGCACTTGTAGCCCATCAGTCAGCATTTTCGAGCCATAGATCATACGGCGATAGTAGCAAGACCTGTCCATTGCCAATACTCGAGGTGCGACTACCCATCAGCGTGCCCTATCCTATGTTTCCGGCCGAGTTTTCGAAAATGTGAAGATCACCACCTGCCCCGAAGCAGACCCTACCGCCAAATGTTCACCCGCAGCGACCCAAGGAAGATATAGGTAATCATTTGGGAGAAAAACAACGTTCTCTCCGTTGCGCTGGATCCATGTGTAGTCCTTAGTTATGCTGAAGGTCGGATGATCGGGTTTCCCTCTTGAAGCTTGGACGATGATGGATGAGAAATCGCTATACACGTAGTCCTCCGCGTATGGGTCAAATGGGAGGTCGCTTGGGAGCTCGTCGCCGCTGATGAATGACCAGCAACGTTGGGACTGTACTTCCCAGATACAGATCTGGTGCAACGGGGACGTGTTGATGCGACCAGAAACATACACCCCGCAAGGCGACCAGGCGAGACCCAGACAATAGCGTCTAGGACACGGAAGATCTACAGTCAACTCCCTTGCTTCAATATCTAATACTGCAACCTGTCGAGATTGTCCGCCGACCACAAGTAGCTTGCCATCAGGTGACAAGGCTATCGAATTGACCCAGTCGGAGCTTGAAGGCAAGTCGCGCTGAAGCAGATTATCCTCCGTCTCCAGATCTACAACGACTGGGTGGAAACCTTCTGTTAGGGCAAATATTCCACTCTCGGCAGAGAATGCACATGTCTTGGCAAAGTGTGTATCGAAACGGTAGAGCTCGTCTCCCGAGTCTGTGTCCCAAATTCGAAGTACTGAGTTCTCCTGACCCCGTTCCGAACATGAGCCCAAAAGTCGTCCATCTGTGTAAAAGGCGACCTCAGTTGTCTTTTCGTTACTAGACATAGAACCAAGCACATGGGTCAGTTTACGCGTTGGCACATCCCAGATTTGGATGGCCCGATAAGCCATGATAACTGCAAGGAGGCTTCGGTCTGGGGAGAACCGGATCAAGGATGGGAGATCCCCATGCTGATGGCCCTCCGTTTCTTTGGCGATGCCGCCCTGAATCACTGCTTGAGCATCTAGCACACGAACTCCGCCACCAGAGCCTCCAACTACCAAGAGAGGATTCTCTGCCGAGGAAGAACCAGTTACTGCGGTGTAGTAATGTCCGGTGCCAGCAACCAAGCCCATGCAGTTTCCATCGGCGGTCCATGTACGAAGCGTCATGTCTCGAGAACATGATGCCAGATTTCCATCTGGTAGGAACGCGATGGCGTAAACGTAGTCCGTGTGGCCCTTCAGCACACTCAATAGTTTGCCATCACCATTCCAGAGCCGGATCGTCTTGTCTCTTGAAGCAGTCGCAATGATACCCGCCGAATTGCATGCAACACTTGTCACGACTGCATCGTGGCCCTTGAGGGTGTGCTGGATGTCTCCAGAAGATGACCAAATAATAGCAGTCTCATCTTCGGATCCAGAAACAACACGGCCGTCAGGCAGGACAGCTACACTAGACACGTAGTCATCGTGGCCCTCAAGTACGAGCTCTTCCTCGCCAGTCGCACTCCATACGCGAACAGTATTGTCATCGGCAGCCGAAAGGATCTTCCCATCTGGAGTGGATGCTAAGCATCTGATAGCCTCGTAATGACCCTGAAGGCTTTGTTCCAGTTGGCCATCTTTGTTCCAGATCCTCACTATAGGATCAAGAGTGCCTGTCGCAAGTCTCCCGTCCGGGAGGAATGCGATAGCTTGAACTACATCATCATGCTCTAGGGATTGGATCACGTCTCCAGAGGCACTCCAGATTAGTACGATGCCAGTACCAGCACGAGTTCTGGAACAGCACGCGACTCGCCCGTCGGGTGCGATTGCTGCGGCAGATACCCACCAGTCCAAACCGTCAAGCGTCTGTAGAACCGGGTCCCAACTTTCTCTCATATTTGGTTTCTCCAATATCCACCTTGGTTCAGAACCTTCATACAATTCTCTGACGCGGCTTTTCGTGGGAGTAAATATCAGGGCCGATATGTAGACCTGCAGCGGCGCGGTGCGGATGGCAGGATAATGGTAGAGCAGAAATCTTTGTGCATCTGAGATGAAAATCGACAAGGCTTCATTCGTCCCACTCATCTTGTCTACAAAGCCCTTCAGTTTAGACAAGGCGCTGACTCCAACGGTTAACTGCCGCAATAGACTGAGTGCCTCAAGCCAATGTAGGAATTTCGTCTCGAAGAAGTGGTTGAGCCGCTCGCAGAGACGAGAGACAGTACTGCCCCCCGAAGTCTCGGTTTCGCACAGATGATCAGACCAGTACAGAGCTGCATACTTCGCTGGGGACAAAATGTCAGGCTGCGGCGCGTCAATGCTTTCCGCGAGAGCTCCTACGCTTGAAAGGCCGTACATATTCCGCCTCAGAGTCAGTTCCAACACATCGATTGCTCGCTCTGTCATCTTCACGTGTTCACCAACGATGTCGCCATGGTATATTTCGTCAACCAGATAGTCTTTAGCCGATTGGTGGACGAAGTATACTGTGTTGTCTCGGACTGTTAGGAATGAGCCGCATTTTTTTACTATCGTTGTTGCCGGTACATTGGGTCGTAGACCGGCTTGTAGACCAACTTCCTCAAGCCGGAGCGGTCGAAATGCGGACATGACAGCTGCAAGAATTGCTTTGCAGAACCCCGGGTCACTCCTCTTTAGGCGATTGATCATGTCCATCATCCGTTCGTAAAGCTCCTTCAGTCCGGGAGGCATCTCTGTCAAGACCTCCAAAGCATCGTAGTCTTCCACTTCTTCAAGCTCCTTACACACCAATGCTACCCAGAGAAATGTCCCGTTGGCCTTGTTGCGGAGTATTTCAACAACGGAAGATTGAATGTCTAAACCGTACCCCTTCTGACCGAGTTCTGACACTTTGTGATTGATATATGCATTCACGGGTTCCGTTAGCAGGGCTGCATCCAGCTCAAGGCTCACACGTTTTGGCTCCTCAAGAGAGTTCAGCTTTGTGTCGAGTGCTGCCCTGCCTCGGCGACTAGATAGGAGTATCTTCACGCGGGAAGATCCTCGGCTAACTTCCGCCAAGAGGTCGACTAGGTCTGGTAAGCCAGGCTTCGACTGCTCGTCGCACTCGTCTAAGGCGTCAACCGCAAGAACAATCCGAGGCGTTGTCTCGTCGTCAAGTATGCTCTTCAACGCTGAAGAAAGCGCGAAGAAAGCGTTCTTGTCCTCGAACAGGACCTTCCCAGCCGTCTTGTATTTGTCTCGGATGTGCGAGATTAAGGATCTTCGTTGATCTAAGAGAAGCCAGACTAATCCTCTTAGAATTGTAGTTGCGTTGCTCAGCTTTGCATCGGTGGCTTGGATGAAGAAGTACGATGTGGTGGTATCTCCGCTTCGCTTAGCACGCAACTCGAGTTCACGCAGTATTCCCATCATCAACATTGTCTTCCCGGTGCCTGCATCACCCCTAATCCAGAGCATTCGAGTTTGTTGATCATCTTCGGCGTCCCAATTAACGAACTTCTTGTACTCGCTATTGTCGAGAACCCATTTGTATGCATCGTCTAACAGATCATCTTTGCGTGCCTCAATCGCCCGAATCTCGTCTCGTGGATCAACAACCCGGAGATCGCGGAGGCAGTTTTCGTCGCCATCCTCCATACGCCACTCTAGCTGCGTTGCCGTCTGTTTCTCAATGGCAGCATGGATGTCTCCGAGCTGAGACCGAAGATCATCTGCTTGGCTCTTAGTTACCGCAAGTAGCTCATCCAGAGTGCTTCGCATCGCTTGAGTGCTATACTCTGTGCTGTCTGATCGAAGAGCTACCTCGGCAGATTTCACCGCTGCCAAAGAGCCATCCCAGTCATTCATCTGCACGAGTCCCCGTAAGAATTCCAATCCTTGGTGGCGGTAGTAGGACACCACACTTTTCGTGGTGTATGTAATGATAGCCTTATACAAATCCAAGACTCTCGCCTTGAGGGAAGATCTCAAGTCGGAGAAGGAGCGTCCATGAGCACTTTCGACATTGATGTTCTCTCTCAGTATCAGATTTGACATGCTATAGTACCACTTCATGGAGGTTACCACATAAACAATGCCACTGCGGTTGGCATCAGTAGAAGTCAATGGGTTCAGGAATATCTGTAATCCTAAAGATATTCCTGACCAAGCGGCCGCAGCGGCCGGCATGCTTGAGACAGCCATGTCGATTATGTCTTTGAGCTTGAAGACATAGTCAATAGCTGTTTTGACGTGGCCCTCATATTTTGCTATCTTGGCTGTTTTCTTCAGGCCTGCCTGAATGATCATATTAAGCCTTTCCTGGCGAATGCCTCTCTGATTTGTCTGCGGGATGGCATTGTCTTGTGAGACGCTTTTCTCCGCGGCAGATTCAGAAGCTCCAGTAGCTTGAGCGCGTTGCAATGCAAGTTCTCGGGACAGGATCTTCTCAAATCTCGTCATGAGATCAGCCTCAGAGGACTTGAGATCATCGTATGCTTCATCCCATAGCTGTGACGAGATAGATCCAGCGTCTTCTGGTAGGCTTTGAGGCTTCAAAGCAGTCATCGGCGTTGCAACGGTGGGTGCAGGCGATGTCTCCGAAGCCGTTGCGGAAGGCGGCTCAGCCGCATTGGCAGCTGGCGCTGGTCCAGCATCGTCCTTCTTTGGCCGATGGATTAGCTTTGAAAGCGAAGGCATTTTCGATCTGGCCGTATAATAGACAGTTCAACGCCGTCACCCGAAGCCAAAAGAGCTTTCCTCACGAAGCAATGCGGCTGAAGAGCCCTGATGGAGCACTGTCGCAGGAGGGGGCGCAGGTGTTTCATTGTTTACCAAGCCAAGCCTCAAACTGCACCGAAAAAACGCAGCTCAGTGGCCCAGCAAGTGCTGATTGGACATTGACTGCTGGATTCCATGTCGACACACAGCGTTACTATGCAGTACGCTATTCAGAAGAGTGTGTAAATAGCAAAACAGACATGCAAGTGAACCATTCTTCGCAAGCATCTGAGGATTGTCTTCCATCCAGCACGTTACTCCCCTGGAATGTGGCGGTCTCAAGGAAGCAGGGTCTCCGCCGAGGCTTCAGGGCCGTGCCGGGGGTTCACAACGCCACACCGACCTAAGCGACTCGACTCCAAGCGCCGGCTCTGATAATGCAATGTAATGGTACCATTCGGCATTTGATCATGTGCGATTCAATCACCGTTCCTTGAAGCGGCGAAAATGCGGAGACCGCGGTGGCCGATCCTCAATCATATGCTACCGAGACTCTGAGCAGCCGCCGTCTTCTCCGCTCCCCGCATCTCAGAAGTTGGCTGTCCCGAGAGTCTCGGCTACAGATGACGTATTAATGTTCCCAGTCACACATATATATTCGAAAAATTTGCCTGCAGTCAGTCTCACTGCATTTTCACGGATGAAACTTGCAGCTTTCACGAGCGACAGCTTGTTTGAGGGTCACAGTCTTGATTAGCAGCCCTGCAGGTCCAGACCACCCATCTCCGTGTGTGGTTACATCTCTACCTCAAGATGCATCGACTTCGCGATGGTTTCCGTTCCCTCATTCGTTCAAAAGATGGACGGGCTAGGCAAGAGAAGTTGCCTAGTGACATGGACGCGCCGAGCCAGATGGTGCCATCCGAAATATCTCGGCCAAAGTCATCAGAGGGTAAGCTCCCCCGTGAGGTGCTATAAGCGTCATTATCGTCATTACGGGTTTTCATCTCTCAGAGCCTTGGGGATTTCCGGCGGGCCTCAATTCAAATCGCCGGGACTAGGAGACTTTTTGGAATGGTGATCTTCTCGAGCCAACGTAGTCAATGCTGCGCTATCGAGATAGCCCTACTCGGTCCAAGAAAATCACTGAGCTGAAAAGCCGAAAGTAGGTTGGATCAATCTGACTAGTCCAACTGGAGCCCGTCGACTTACATAGTCTAAATGCCGCGATGCCCTACATGGCCCGAACGACGTGTCGCCTTATCTCAGGTTGTCGATCTATCAATAGTATATGTCTCACTTCAACATCCCTACCTTATAGTTGCCCTGCCTTGATTATTTTCGCCTCACATCGGTTGCTTATATTTTTTACACTTTCGAGATAGTTGGACCCTCTTGCTTGTGTGCATGCAATTCTCGCACTGTTCGTTTCTTTCTTAGTCGTCCTTTACTAGACTATAATGGCGTTTCTCAATGCTTTGATTCTAACATTTGCTACCCTTACCGTAGGTGCTCGAATACAACCACGAGCTGACAACACTTTGCCTGTTGGCACAAACCCTATATCACAGAGCAGCTTTAGCGTCCAGTATCTTGGTTTACAGAAAGCCGACAACAGCTGCAGTCATCGGGATCTTGGGTTCACTGGCAGTATTGCTGGAAAATGGTATGCTGTCTATGGGGACACCTTGTGGTGCGATACAGGAGTTACAGATCCTGCAAATGACACTTCTGGCTTCCATGGAATGGTGCGAGACTCCGTCTCGGCCATGACCAGTGATCCTCTAGTTGTCCACGATTTGAACCTCAACAACGATAAACCAGTGCCTCACCAGCTACAACTGGTCCCATTCAACTCAGCTTGGGGCGAGACTAATGTCTATGGGTTTGGAGGGACGAGCTTATGCGAGACTGATGCAGTCAGCGCCACGGCTGCTCTATTCTATCTTGTTGTAAGACCGCTATCTAGCTCAGCTCTTCTTCATGATATTGATAAAGGCGGATAGAATGCAAATGACGCCGGCTTGAAGGGAGCTGGTGTCGCGAAGGTGCAAGTCATTAACGGTACACCAACCGTCACTCAGCGATATGGGGACAATGGTTGGTGGTGGAATTCTACAGATACTCCCCGTTATGGTGATGTTTGTGCCTACCGCGACGTCAACTCGGAGTACATATATGCCTATGGTGGCGCACCGACATCGATCACCGACTGGGGACAAAGTGCATATGTCTATCTGGTTCGCGTCAAAGCGAGCGAGGCATTCGACCTCAGCAAATACCAATATTGGTGGGGCCTGCAACAAGGCTGGAAGTCGACTGTTCTCACATCGTTTACATCTGAGACAGCCGTTTGGTGGGGAACGGGTCAGGGGCAAATTGTCTACAGCCCATACTACCAGTGCTACATCCTGGTCAACATGGGCAATGGTGGAAGCGATGTCAAGCTTCGCACAGCACCAGCTCCCGAAGGCCCGTGGACGGCCGATGTTAAAGTCTATACGGCTACGCCCATTGACGGTGGACTGACATATGCAGGTGTTGCTCACCCTTATCTAGATCCCACTGGCAGAACGCTTGTGGTCTCGTGGACCAACAACAACAATATTGAGGTTATCAGAATAAGTTTCTCGAAATGATTTATGAATATATTGACCATGATACCTGATTGTGGCTGGCGTTATAGGGGCTGATAGAATGAGAGAGTATCGACTCTTTATAAATGCAAGGGATACTATCATGATGTAGTATAGAACAGAGAGCCGCTTTCATCAATGCGCAGAGAATCTTGCAATGTTCGCATATGCTGCTGTCTCAAATATGCAAATCAACCCGTCCTTTAGTTCTCTCGCCATTCTCCCCTGGAAGCAGACTCGTATACTCCGCCACCAGATGGCCATTGTCAAGATCATGCACGGTGCCTGTCCACCTAAATCTAGCGTAGGGCGGTATGAAGCCAGTTTCATCCATACCCGCCTCTTCTAGCGTCATAAGAGTTCGAAATCCTTTAGCAAGAATTCTGGAGTCCCAGGGTCCCTCTCTGAAATCTCCCCAATACTGAACGAGCGTTGTCAGCACATTTGCTGCTTCTTCTCGGAGCCCCCGCTGGCGACATGTGTGAATGACCATGCAGATGGAAGGCAATATTCCAATTTCGAATGTAAACCGAATTTTGGGCTTTTCTCCAGGATCTTCCAGAAACATCTTGAATAGCGCCAATATTTTGCGATACTCCTCAGTAAAGCCGTCATATGTAAGTCCACCTTCAGAGTCCATGCAGCCTTGGACGAACAGACTACCAATATGACACTGAATGGTCATGAGCACAAGGCTGCGCCGATGATCCCTATTCTTTTCTGTTCCCAGTCGGGAATCAAAGAACTTCCTCCACTCTCGCAGATTTGTGAGATGTGCTTCTCGTTCTTTCTTCACTTTATCCGGATGAAATGATGGTTCACTCATCGCGGCTCCCTGACAGCGCGATCCAAATATGCACAATCTTGTATAAGAGCTTTTCCACATCACTGTTACGGTGTTCGTGTTGCAATCGACTTCCGGCACGACATTTAGAGGTCTGGCATCTAGTATGCCGTAATGTCTCTGCGAAGATGGGAAGAATGGAGTTATTGCTGAGAGTGCTGCGAGTCTAGCTAACAGATCTTCAGCTTCATCCGTTTCTGAGCCTGGAAGACAGGGTGACTGCAACGTCCTGATTTCGTCTCGAAGAAGCTTGATTGAACTGGTGATAAGACCGTCCACTGCAGAAATGTGTCCTTGCAGAAACTCGAAAACCATGCAGAGTAGAGCTGCGGGAAGGATCCGTTGGGTTGAAGGACGATCGCCCCCGAAGGCAACCCGTTGGCGATAAAGGCGTAAAGCTTTACCGTAATGCCGCAGAGCTGCCTCGCGATGCTGTGTTAACTCAAACGCTTCGGTGTCCAGTATGGTATCGTGATTAACTGGATGCAGATCGAATTGTAGTGATCGAGAAAGAGCACCAATGCCGAGAACGCAATGTCGGATGCATTGGTCCTCCATACTTTCGCGAAGGATCGTTCGCGACCAAAACTCGGAGTAGGCATAGCCCGATAGATCACGAACTATATGTACCCGAAATAAATCGAAATAAGAAGCGTCGCGTTCATTCACGTGAAAGGCAAATAGATCTCGTGGCAGGTCGTGCCTCCACACATGATTGCCCAATTGATTTTCACCTGTAACATTATGGTCTGGTCTGGGTAGAATCGTGGGCAGCTTTCGCGAAATTGCCAATGCGGACAAATCTGTTTTCACTGGCTCTAATGCCTCTGGAAGCGGGTGTGTTTCATATCCATCACACCTGTACAGCCCTATCTCGCACCTAAGACATGTTGGCTTTTGTTCATCACACTTCTAAGTCAAGGTTTCAGTCGTCAAGTCTTTGGTGCTCCGGAATATTACTTACAACATGACGTTTCTTACAAGTCAGGCATCCCGAACGCACTTTCGGCTTGCTCGCCCGTGTTCTTTTGTTCACACTCTCACGATTTCTGTGTCGAGTGAGAACTTGAGGAACAAAACGAAACTCCATCTTCCATCAGGCCACAGCTCAATTAGGAGTGTCGTTTCTGGACGGAGTGGTCTAAGACTTTGGTTCCTTACATCAAGTGCCTGTCAGTGGCCAGGTCAATCGCGGGGAGGAAACTTATATGAGAATGACGAGTGGGGCGCTGGTCTACAACAAGAGTCTCACCACTTCAGCCCTAATTGTCCGACCAATGAGCGTATATGAAGTACGAGAGATCACTCTAAATGCTGACATCGCTTCAAGCCGACGCCCTATAATAGACCTCGCCCCTTGCACCCACTTACTAAGGGTTTTTAATACCAATTCCTGAATAATCCGTGGAAATCTGCTAGATTAAGAAAGCGTCAAGTCTTGACTTCGCTCAAAGTTTGACAGGCTCTCGTAACTGCACACGAATATAATGTTTAAGAGGTACGTGGAATATGCTTCATTGTGTTCACGATACCATGTTTATTTGGGAACTTGAAGGGTAAGGAGAGCATGTGGAATTGCCTAACTTGTGATACAAAAAGGAAATGGAAGCAGCACAGCCATCTTGTTATACTTCTTCAACCTCAAATTTCACCAGTAAAGTGCACGTTGTTTCTCTCCCTTTTAAGTCCAGCATACGAATGAAACTCCACCCGGGCACAACATACATGAGCCTGACGGTCGCGACTGCAAACATGGGATTTGTCGCCCAAGCCTCATCGCTTTTGATAAGTAGGCGCAGGAACACAAGTTCGTTGTCGTCATACTCCCACTCAAGTGTCTCGTCCCAAACAGGCTCAGATGGCAGTGGGTTCTCTCCACTGTGCAAAAATCCTGTGAGTTTGTGCTGCTTGTACGGTTCTGTCTTACGCTTCGGGTGATCGCCACCAACAGTGTGTGGATGCATTAATATGCAAGTAAGATATGGCTTGATCTCATCTTCCTTGTGGTCTCCATGAACCGGCACACCAGTTGCACCGGCAACACGAAGGAGGAGCCTCGTTCTCTTACCGGTATTTAGCTTCCCGTCACCGCCAGAGCGAAGAGCGGCTGGCTTCAAGACGTATCCATCCGTTCCGCTGAACAGTGCCTCATTGAGCTGCATAGCGGTACCAAAATGTTGCCAATTTAGAGCACAAATCTGGGCACCCACGCCCCAGAAAGGCACGGGGTGTAAGTTCTCGGAGGAGATACGCGTGCCCTTGGGGAACACTCGCATGAGATGCTGAGCGTTGTGGCGGCCGATCTTATCACCGAATGTGGGGATTGAAGATGCTAATCCAGATTCCGAGACGTTGATGAGGTGGTGATGTGGCCCACTCTTGAGCTCACCAGGATCGAACCATGAGTTGTTGGTTGGCTTGACGGACTGCGCATACACGCCCAGCTCGGCCAGTTCCGGGATGATGATCGCGTCTTTGGCAGCCTTCTTTTTCTGTTTATAAGCCTTGCGAGCTTCTTTCTCTTCCTCCTCATCCTCCTCATCGCTAGAGCTGCTGTCGGAGTCTGACTCAACTTCGCCAGGAATATGATATTCAACTATTACGACGATCTTGGAGCCGAGTTCCTCAAGAGTGACGTGCTCGCCGCCCTGTTGCTCATCATGGCCCTTCTCTCGAATGGCTTTGCTGAGCAAACGATCACCCCAGACCTCTCTCATTATCTCCACAAGCCGTATCTGGCCATGATGTCCACAGTGGTTCTCGAGGGAGATGAGAATCGGTGCTGCCCGGTAACCTTGGGCATTGATGGCTTGTGCAGCCTCTACATCCATGACGTCCCGTATAGTCTCGCACACAGCCCGGAACGGAATATGAGACACTAAGGTGTACCCGTGGGTGACCTTAGGCTCATCCTTGTCGTCGTCATTATCCCAAGCATCAATCTCAACGCATCGGGAGCCTGTCCGAAGAGCCGTCTCATAAGCAGAGGCAGCAGAATTGCCAAACAGTTGATGCGCTATCAGGTAAGTGTTATGGCTCGAGCTGATGAAGTACTCGGGGAAAGGGTGCGACCTGTCCGTGAGTTCTGGGGGTACACTGATATGAGGCTTGTCAAGGAGAGCCCGGAGGGCCTCGGTGGGTTCATCGGAGGCGGCGTCTTCCTCTGAAAGGAGGCCTTTGCTGCAAAGAAATGCTCTGAGGGCGTGGCTCACTCTGAGCTCATGCTCCGTGACCTCAGTTCGACGGGCACTATGGCCGCCTCCGGCCACGGTGCTGGAGTCGATTTCCTCGCCATAATCCTCATATTCGTCTCCTCCTCTCCTTTTCCCTGCGAATGGGTTCAGCTTGGCGAGACGCGCACTGAGATCGGCCATGACGCAAGTTGGATCTCGTAGCAAAAAAAAAAAAGGGCTAAGGAAGATGTATTGATGGAACCTGCTCCACTTGATCAAGGGCCGCAGTCAGCCCTGAAATAGAATCTCGGTAGAAGGAGCGCGAAAGCCTGCTCTTTTCAGCTGAGATGATCTTACTGTGCCTTGGAATTGCCCCTCCAGAAACTTGGCTGATGCGGGCAGGGCACCACCCCACCATCAACAACAGCCATTACGTACCCATGCGAGCCATGGCACCTTGCCAAGTGGCAGGCGTTCGCCAGCTGGCGGTACTTTGGTCTTCTGAACAGCAGCATAACCCTAACCCTCCTGTCTCTCTTAAAGGAAAGACCACACTCTAATCCTCCTACGATAATGACTGAGCTGCGCTTTATTCTAGATTACGTCAGATGTATAGTACACGGTCCTCAGGAGCCAGGCTCTCCGGGTATCGATTGGCCCATCGTTCGACGACGATTCCAAGAATCACTGCCGTCCCATAGTAGAATCATCAAAAAACATGCCGGCGCTGGCAAATTCGTCAAACGAGATTCCTGAAACAAACTCTTCCCAAAGTCTCCAGGACTGATCCGATGGGTCTTGTGAGAGAGACGAGTCTACGGGTAATAGCCCTGACGGAACCATACTTAAACTTTCCAGTGACGAATTTGTCAATGTCCAGTTTTGCTGAGAAGGCATCGAACCAGCCGGAGCTGCTAAAAGCTGTATGTTCGAGCCCATACCCGAATTTTCCAACCCATACGATACGGTTGAAATGCCATCAACCATTTTGATGTCCTGAGCGGATGAACTCGTAGGCGAAACTTGTACGGAAGTGCCGGTGGGATTAGAAGCGAGCCCTTCACTTGATCTTCTGCTTGCTTCTAGAAGCGGCGCTAGCTTTTCACGAGTTTGACGCATCATCTTTCCCAAAGGCCCTTGCAGTATGCCACCGCTAAAGCGAGCGATAACGGCTTCATGATGACGATAACATGATTCAATGACCGGCCAAGCACGACCGACTAATGTTGCATCCGCGCAAACATAGCACTCGGCAAGGGCAACGGCCAGTGCAGGCCACGGAATCGTAATGTACCAGCGGAACCCTTCACCACGCGGATCAATATGCATCAAGTGGGCCTTCTCTAACACTTGCAGCGCCAGACGCAACACCTCTGTATTACCAGTCATGTGCCTTGGCGGAGCGCGGCTGGCACGAGACCGCTGGAGCGGCCTTAGAGCAGAGAGACGCATCCCTGACACAAAGCACTGCACACCATGCCATGTAAACCATGCGAACGGCGATGATTCAGGATCACAAAAGTGAAGGAGAGCAAGAGCATCTTTCTCGAATTGCCGCCCTTGCTGTTGCCGTACCTCCCATTCCGACGGGGCATATGATTGTGAGACCGCTGTACTTGCTCCACTACCACTGTCTCCAGCACTGGCTTTCTTGTCTTTTTCGACAATATTTAGTAGTCGGCCACTCATCTGTGCAAGATACGTGACGAGAGCGAAAGTTGTATCGGTGAGACTCTCGCTGTTTGGTATGTCTTCTGTCGTCGAAGGGTCGAAATCAGAGTCATTGATATGTCTAGGCATATTCAATGAAGGCGCTGCCTCTTCAGCACTGATGAGAGTTTCCGAAGCTTGAAAAACAGATGCCTGGAGATCCATTAAGCATATGGTGAGCCAGAGTCTTCTCCGCATCTGTTGATAGAAGAACGTTTCCTTCCTCCCAGCTTCCTTGTCTGGGTCTACCTGAAGACAGAGGTTTTTGGCAATTCTTACTGCCACGGCAACTAAGGTCGATACAGCTCTGGTGCGATCTTCTGATCTCCTAGCTACCTGGATAAAGTTCAAATTAGTTAAATAATATAGACATCGTGCCATACAATCAGATACCCACAAGGTACAATATGAAGGCTTGAAGAACAGTAATGTCTCTAGTTGACAAAAGCCCGGATCTCTCGATGGCAGCTTCACAAGTCTTGCGACAGTCAGCTACTACCCGAGCTTTTTCCATCTGGAACATCTCCTGGCACTGTCTTTCTGTCATGCTGGTGGCAGCAGAATAACAGACTGCGGAACTTATGGCATGGACAGATGCGTGACCATCTGGATATCTCAGATACTGTTGGCCTTCTAGCATCCATTTGCTCAATGACGGTCGATGAAGAATTTTGATGATAGGATCGACCTGTCGGAGGTATATCTGACATAATTCCCGCGCAATCTGACTGGTGACAAACAGGTGTGGTGCTGCTAGACTGTTACTTGACCCTGAAAGTCCCAGAATGGAGACCCCACCGTCAACCGAGTCCACCTGTGAAGGGTCTGGTGCTTGGGCGATATCGTCATCTGCCTCAGCAAGAGCCGAGTCCATAACGTCGCGTAATCCGTGGATCTGTTGCGGTTAGAGTCAGAAACACGGCTATGAAAAGCGCGCACCCAAGCGGATAGCAACACCCTGGCTTCTTACCTCGGCGACCAAGTCCGCCCAAAAATGATGAGAGCGTGGCATCACAGCATTATACGACTCAGTAGAGGTCGAAGTGCTGTCTATGGATATATTGGAGTCGTCATGGGCAAGAGTCAGTTTGGGGTGGTCACTACTCTCCCCAGGCTGCCGTGGAGCATCAGTTGTTGTCAAGGCTTGGCATGTACCACTGCCAGCGAGATGATCAGTAAAGCTTACCGGCTTTCCAGAGCTTTTAGGCCCCGTGACTGGCTTCACAATGTCCGATCCCATCCTATCAACTAGTGCTTCAAGTCTTTGTATGCGCTTGTTGAGGTCTTCATCCATGGCAACTGAGGTGTATGCCGGCCGGACTCTCCCTGCCGCAACGGGCGACATGGTCCGGCCGGAGCGCCGTGCATGCCGGCCCCTTGGCAACCGCAAGCGGTGGACAGGAACGCATACCACTCCGGCGGATATACAATTGGAGCATGGCTCAAGCTTATCGCACTTGATCTTACGTTCGCGACAAAGCTCACAACTGAGTTGAGGGGTTGTTTGATTCTTTGGCTGGCTGGAGTGTCCAGCCTGGACCGTGGAAACGTTTTGGTCACCCATCCATTGACTGGTTCAGGCTACACTCAGAGCAAGTAGTGAGCTTCCGGTTGGATCAAGGCGTCCGGGGAGTGTACGGAAATTGTTTGCTTACAAAATGCGAGGGGTTTGGTCAAGTCATACATTGACCCAACGCCTAGTCCCTTGGTTGGAATTTGGGATGTTGTTAAAAGCCGAGGCGAGTCAGTAGGGCGGGCGATAAACAGACATGCGACGATCTCGTGGCAATGTCTCGCAATACATGAAATCTAGGTCTACGGGTGTTGAGACCTTCTAATATGCCCGCGTCGCACCAATAATTTGTACAAAATCTAGGCATCGTCTTGTTCGCAATCACTGCTGACTCATTTCACCAACATCACTATTGACGTCGGAATTGTTACCATCAAATTCATACGCCAGTCTGTTGTCGTTGGTGCCGGTTTTGTCGTAAGGCGACGCGTAGTCCGCCGTAGCTCCCCATGACTCAGGAATACACCGGCTTTTACAAACGGCTTTTGAGATATAAAAATGGAAAAAAGCCTGGCAAAAGATTAGCATGGGATGCATATTCAATAGGCGCTTATGTTTCCACAGTAGTCATTTTGACAATTATTTGGAAGATTCATTAGGGGGAAAGGCTATACCTCGAAATGGTGGATGATAGTGGTGCAAACAGGCAACAGTATTTGCTGTCTGCTCAGCTGCGACACCATCCACAAACAGCCAAAACACCTTCGAAATAAAACAATATTCTACAAGAGTTAGGTCAAAAGCTAGTAATACATGGTTAAGAGCTACATGTTTCGCAAAGCGCTATATCTCCCATCTGATGACGAAGCCGTGTTAGTGAGTTCATGTAAGAACATCGCCACCAAAAAGTCCCAGTGCTTCGCCCAAGACTTATAATAGGAGGAAACATAGAAATGGACAAACTCAATAGATACGAATATAGCCAACTACTCGCTTTGCAAACCCGTACACCAGTAGCTACATCTAGCAGATAAGAGGACGGGCGACCCAAAACATCCAAATCATGTAAGCTACCGCCGGCGCAGCGTTTTCTCAAAACGGTCACCCTCAAGGCTTGAGTTCTGGGTACTCTGGTAGCTTCCAGCCTCCTTTCTCTTCGCTTGAAAAACGCGCGATAAGATCAGGGATGCGGAGAAAGCAAAGGACTCTTGCCATGATGTGGATGACGGTGATGCCCCATTGTGTGTCGGGCATCCCTAGTTTTAGCAACCTGGGATTGACCTTCTGAATCTCGTTCACAAACGGTCTGAGTGTCTCGTCGTAATTCTGGAATGCCTGGGACAGGTTGCCAGGGCTTCGATTTATTTCGCCAGCCAAGACATATGCACCGACGAGAGCTCCCGTGGTCCCCATGCCGCTGAAAGGAGAAGCGCAATGGGCAGCATCGCCCAAAAGAACCACGCGTCCTTTGTACCACTTGTCCATATGAACTTGGACGACTTCTTGGCAGTAGAAATTCTCTGTGTCCTTCATGCCTTCGATAAAACGCTGAGCCTGCCATCCTGCGTCGGAGAATCTCTGCGCCCAAAACTCTTTTTGTTGTTCCACTGGTGCCCTCGGGATGCTTGATAGTTCTTTTGAACTGTCTTTGAGAGTAAAATAAACCTGGGTATCAGTCGGATTGTGAGTTCTGCGCATGATCATGCGACCACCAGGGCTGAGATACGTTCGCCGGATATTATCATCTCCCTTCTCGCGCGGGATGAACCAGTAAGCCATGTGTATGCCGAGTCGTTTGTAAGGATCGGTATCGTGCGGCAGGATAGTTTTGCGAATACGTGATCCTTGCCCGTCGGCTCCCACCAGAATATCATATGTGTCGGATGAACCGTCCGAGAAGTGCGCAACCACCTCCTTCTCGTCCTGCTCGAAGTTCTCTACGGTCTTTCCGAATATGTATTCGACGTTGTCTTTCGTTTGGTCGTAAAGAAGTCGCACGAGATCTCCTCGCATAATTTCGTACTCGGATGTCAACGATTGTGCGCCCTTGCCAGATGTATTGGCCATCATAGTCCCCATCACTTTGCCTTGCGAGTTGACAAAAGAAACCCCGAGCTCATCTACAAGCTTGCTACGGACGACATCATCCAGCCCCATGCGCTTAACAATCTGGATGCCTTGAGCGCGAAGATCAACCTGTGCACCTGATGCTCTCAGGGCAGGGAAGCGTTCGACGATAACGACTCGGTGTCCACAGCGCCCGAGCCAGAAGGCAAGAGCCGGACCGGCAATACCACCACCACAAATGAGGATTTTTAGAGGAGCCATTCGCAAATGCTTGCTTCTTTTGGTATGTAAAGAATCTGATGCAATATATGCAGAATTAAGAGATGATCGTATGATACTTGTCAGGCTGCCAAATTAAACGTGGCTCAGGTTCATTCTTAAATACGTGGTCTAAGGGAGCGCGAATTGACGTTGTGGAGGGAAGCGTGTTAAAAGCCGAGTCGGATCATAGTATGACGCGCTGACTCGTTTCCCAACGCAACCACCATACTCAGGATATCTCGTTCCTAAGGCCTTTTACAAAAGCCGAGTTGGATCATCATATTAAAAAAAAAAAAGTTAAAATAGTATAAGTATTTGAGATTTTCAGCAGCCATGGAGCGGACAGAATGCGACAACAGGATTACTAGACAATTTTGTAGTTCTTCAATTCGGAGGAATCGCATAGTTGCTAATGGCACAATCAAAACAACCGGGCTCCAATTTGGAGACTGACACAGCAAGACCGACGAGTACGGCTGAGAAGCCAAACCAACACACAGTAGAACCTCACATAGAGGCAGCAAGATCATCCGCAGCTGATGCGGACCACTCATCAGAAGATCCGAATCTCGTTGGCTGGGACGGCCCCAAAGATCCCGCGAATCCGAAATACTGGCCAATCAAGGAGAAATGGACTGTCACGATTCTAGTATCTTTCTTCACCTTCATCTCTCCGGTCTCATCTTCCATGGTGGCGCCGGCATTGAGCGCCGTAGGGGAAGACCTCAAAATGGGGAGTGAGATGGAAGTCGAGATGGCTTTGTCTATCTTTGTTCTTGGGTACGCCGTCGGGCCGCTGTTCTTTGGTCCAATCTCTGAAATCTTCGGTCGGTCCCGGATCTTACAACTCAGCAACTTATTCTACCTAGCTTGGAACCTTGGGTGCGGCTTCGCACAGAACAGAGCCGAGTTCTTTGTGTTTCGTTTTCTTGCTGGGATTGGCGGAAGTGCACCACTTGCTATTGGGGCAGGTGTCATTAGGTCAGCTATCTAGGGCGCACGCTCTGTAATCTTAAGTGACTTCTGGCTGAACGAGTATAGTGACTGCTGGTCCGCTGAAGATCGGGGGAAAGCTGTCGGCATATACACACTCGGGCCATTGTTTGGTCCTGTTGTTGGCCCAATAGCTGCTGGCTTCATCGCTGAGAAAACAACATGGCGCTGGTATGCTCTGTTCTCATATTATGCTCTTCTCAACGCTAACACTTTTCTCAGGGTCTTCTGGTCAACTAGCATAGCGGCTGGTGTGATTCAATTGGCTGGCTTGATTTGGTTGAAAGAAACGTATGCCCCAGTTCTTCTAAGAAGAAAGCTGGAGCGTCTTGTGAAGGAGACAGGAAACGAAAAGCTACATACTGGGCCAGAGTCGAATAAGAGCATATCAAGCACCATCGGCGGTGCCCTGATCCGACCATCACGCATGCTAGCGACGCAACCAATTGTGCAGGTGGTTGCTCTCTACATGGCGTATCTCTTTGGGGTTACCTACCTTGTGACGGTCACATACCCTGTCATATGGAGCGATGTCTATGGAGAAAGCCTTGGCATTGGTGGGCTCAATTTCATTTCCCTGGGATTGGGCAGTATCTTCGGCGCGATAGTTAGCATACGATATGTCGATCGCATCTATCGGGGACTCAAGGAGCGAAACAACGGCGTGGGCCAACCCGAGTTCCGCGTCCCATCAAGTGAGTGACATCTGGCACCCTTATACACCATGCACAACTTTCTATCTCTAATGTCTCAATGGGGAAATGCTGACTTCGAGATCGAGTGTTCGCGGGGTCGATCGTCATACCAATCGGCCTATTTTGGTATGGTTGGTCAGTCCAGGGGCATGCACATTGGATCATGCCCAATATCGGCCTTGCCATATTCGTTGCGGGAACTCTTATCTGTCTTCAGGGAATGCAAGGCTACGTTATCGACTGCTACAGCCGTTATGCTGCAAGTGGCCTCGCTGCTGCGACTGTTCTCCGGAGTCTAGCAGGCTTTGGGTTTCCGCTATTCGCACCGTACCTGTATCAACGCCTGGACTATGGATGGGGCACCAGTGTCCTCGCGTTCATCAGCATCGCCGTCGGCATTCCGGCTCCGTTGATGTTCTACCTGTACGGAGCTAAACTGCGCGCATTGTCGAAATATGCCGCGGGCTGAAGTTGAAGGAATTTCGTGTTGCGTGATATTACGAACACAGCCCTCTCAACCCCGGTCTATGTCTCATCACACGCCAAGAAATCCTCACTCCTTCATTCGCACAGCTTTTGATTGGGCAACATTTGAAATGCGTCTGTTCACTCTCCAGAAGTTGCTGTGAGTGGATTTACGACTGATCAGGTGGATGCAGCCCTGGTAGGCTACCAGTCGTCTATGAATCACCGTCCACGGTGATTTCCGGATGGAGAGACCAGTTTTGTAACATGTAAACTAGCAGTACACTACACTCGATTTAGATTTGTCTCACATCAAAAAGAGTTATATCTTCGAGCTAGAAGCACGGCTAATGCATGGCACAGCCGCGTTGTACACGCCATCCCCGGATTTGAATGTTTCTATGAGACATTGATGCAGTCAGTCGATGTCTCTCGGCCCCGTCGCCTTGTCATTACTAAGGTAGCTGTCTCAACATTGTGACGATAATTTCAATGAACGAGGAAGATAAGTTTGGCCCTTTATCTAATCTAAAACGAAGATATTGCGTTGAGCTGGGTGTCGATGTATGGGTAGTGACGTCTGTGGCCGCCGGGTCGACACTTGACGTAAGCCATGTGCGTGCGGAAGTTTCCATGCCGAAATTGATCGTTCCGGGCGCTGGGCTGACTCGAAAGAAAAAACATGGAGTATGATGATATGAAACAGGAATTGACAGCTCCAAGGGAGCAGATCGTCGACTTCGCTTATTGTAGCCGTTTTCCCTGGGCTGGAGCCCCGTCTATAAACTCCCATCGATCATGTCTGAATCCGCTCAAGACAGTCCAGTCCCTCGTGTTTGTCCGCATTGGCCATGTCATCAGAAGTTCAGCTCTGATTGCATCGCATCTCCCCTGTGATTGGACAACGCAGCACCGTTAGCCTGCAGGCATGAAATTCCTGCCGGGACCCCGCCCTAGGGGGAACCCAGACCTGCTGAAAAGATCCATCTAGAGCCAATGGGGGCGCCGCTGTCTGCCGAAAATGCAAGTTCTAGACAGGGTTCTGTAACGAGTGATCGGCCCTAGTGGCTTGTTAGGCGTAGTGGCGTTGGCCCGCATGGCCCTGGAACGATCCGACAATGAAGCCCTGGGCCCTTTGCCTGCATCCTTGTACGGTTGTACTGTGCTGCGAGGTGCTCCAGTCTGCTCCGGGTGGCTCAGGTTGGAATGGACCGACCCAGGCTCAGGCGAGGTGATGTAGAACAGAGCCTCAAAGATAGAACGGGGATTTCCCACGATTTCATTTATATTGCAATTCCCGGCCAGCACCAGCACCGGCACCAGCACCAGCACGATGCGAACCGGGCAGACCCACGTTAGCAGCAACTTTAAGTCTGTCGACTACTCAGCAGCCCGTTCTTAGCGAACAACCATCCCCACATTCTTGCCCATGCGGTGCTTTCCCAATCCCCTCTCAGGCCAGAGGACTGAGCCAGAAGAGACAAATGATGAGGGCCTTTCCGGCGTGGAAGAAAGACTGAATAATGTCGAGCTCAATCAAGGCCGCAAGAGGTCAAGATACACCCCAGAGGCTAAGGAACGGACCCGCGATGTTCGACGGAAGGGAGCATGTCTTCGGTGCAGAATGCTGAAGTTGAAGGTATACATATGTCCCCCGCTTGACTTCGGCTTTTCGTTTCGTCTAAATCATGAGATACAGTGCTCAGCAGAGGATCCATGTGAGCGCTGTCTGGCGTCAGCAACAAAAACATCTGAGAGGAAGGTGCTCTCATATTGCTACTGTATTCGAACTCGTATCACAGAAGTGAACATATTCAAACATGGTTAGCGGTCATCCCCCCATATGGGCATTAACAGCTAAGTGATATGCCCAGAAACACGAGGGAGTGATGTTCTCAAGGTCCAGGCCAATATTCGCGCTTTGGAGACATTAGCCGCCGGATTACACCGTGATGGTCAGACAGACCTCGAGACGCAATGCAACAAAATCCTCAAATGGCTACTTGAAAATGAGAATCAGGACCAGAATACGAGCATTGTCAGCTTCCTAGGAAGTGACGCCTTTTACGATGCAGCTCGGGAAAGTGTCGACGCCGAATTGCTTCGAGACTTTAGGAGACTTATTCTGTCCACCTCATTACTACATACGAGTTGGGGTAGTCTATGCCCGCCAGAGCTGAGCAAAGAAAGCCTACACGAAATCTCTCATACGTCTGGATCGGCGCTTCTCCAACGACTCGAGCGGCTCCTTTCACCGCAGCAAATTGCTGATTGTAGTATGAACTCGACGAGGGTCATATTTCTCGTGTTAGTCGGAACAATTCTCGCAGTCTCTTACTCCTCACAATCAACAACCTCGCCGAATTTTCCGTCGGAGCTCCTAACTCCAGAGTTCCGCGAGAGCCCAACTTTGTGGGTTGCAATGAAAGAGCATCTCTGCCACATGCTGGCGCACTACCTCATCTTCCTGGCTTCTGCGCTAGGCCATAAGCTCACCACCGACCAAGAGAAGTTTCTCGTGGAGAATGCAATTCATCGATGGAGCAAGTCAGAAGCTTTCCTCTGGGCAGGTGCATTACCCGAGCCACGGGGAGGATTGGACGTGGATGCTCTTGAGTACGAACAACCCGAATCATTCACATCCTTGTTGGCTATTCCATATCCCGATATTCTTCGAGGTAATCTGCCTCAAAGTGAATCTGCTCCTCTGCAAACAGAGCCAGATCGTTCCAGTTGGTTAAATTTCAACACGCGGGGTATTAGCCAAAGCAACGAGGGTGAGGCTTGAGTCCTGTTGCGACATATCCCGTCACTCATCTTTCAACTGTACTAACTTAGAAGTAGGAACTGCTCCTCCTCGCTTAGTCAAGCGCCGGCGGATACTTGTTGTTGGGCCATGTGACGGTCATCAGGCTTATGCTCAGATGATAACAACTGGTGACAACGGAAGACCGAGTCTCTTCGTCTAAGAGTGTGAAGAAAGGCCATGATTGTCGGATTGTTAAGATGATCGAATTGTATGTTGCCTATGATAACGACTGTTTTTAAATTGGTTTTTGATGCGTGCGTCTAGAGCACGGGGAAAACTGCAATGTCAAAGATACCAGATACGCTGGTTTATCTTTGCAAACATTTACGGGATGAATTCAATAGATTATTTGTTTTAATGACGACTTATGTTGTTAGCAAGACGTTGATGTTGGAGTCGCAAGGTTTTGGCTATCTCGTAGTGCTCTCCAGGCAAGACTCTGCTGCGCGAAGTCTCCATTTTCGCCATCCAAAGCCATGCTCCATTTCGATATGAACCACGGCGACGCTTCCCATGAACCCATGTCCCAAGGTGGAAAGGACCTTGAGCCGAACTCCAAAGGATCGGAGGAAGGTAATGCTTTACGCCACACCGTCAGCCCACCTCTTGTATAGATGTCCACTTTGAGCTCGTAAAGATTGTAAATCTGTGGCATCTGTGCTGAAAGCATGATTGCTCTATCGCGCAGGTAAGGGATTGGAATAACATCAAGACAAGCGTCATGCGGAATTAGCACCTGCGCAGAAGTCGGCCGAAGATGGATTGGTATCGTGGAGATCTCGGCGTGTTGTGGCGCTGGGGGCTCTGTGATGCGCCTCGGGGAGCAGACTGACACGCTATGTCGGTTGCTACAATAAAATGGCGACCGATATTCAGCTGAACACTTCGCCAGTCTAGCCAAGTCGAATCCTAGAAAAAGAGCGTTCTGGAGAGTTGCCGAATAGATCGTGGTGGGGAGGAATTCCATCGCATTGAGAAAAGGGTCCGGAAGTGCAGACCGCGAAAGATGCGGAGATAGGGTAGTAACGCTATCAAGTACTTGCTTTGGCTTTTGAAGATTTAACTCCTGGGTCGGATCTTGTCGAGGCCTACGGGGTGTGATTGTGTCCTGATGTACAAGCAGCACGGTTTCCGGTTGTCCATTTGAGATCCCTCCCAGTAAGCGCGGTCTTAGATCCCGTCTACTACGGGGTCTATGGTTGATTTGCGTATGCCGGCCATTCCCCTTTAACTCTCTGTGTCGTTGACCTACATATTTGCGATTTCATGTTAGCCACTCATTCCGATTTGTTGCTGGCTTCTTCGCTGCCTACGGTAAAGTTGTTGAGCCTTTCGGTTCTGTACTCTTCTTGCCTCGGTCAAGACTCGCTTCTTTCTATATCCACTCTGGCTGCTTGAGCTTCTGTCACTGGTGTTGATGTGGCAGTCTCTCAGTAACACAGCTTCCTCCAATTCCTTTCGACGACCACCAGCCAGCTCCATGGCCACCAACGTCCACAAGCCCAGATAGTGTATGAACAGACTCAGTCCTAAGAAATTCAAGTCAACAACTTCAGTCATCTGCCAATGATATGTATGGAATAGGCTTATAAATCAATGCACTACTGATCGATCGCGTGAATTTCGGAAGTTGATCCACTGGCTTATGCCGCCAGACCAATCACAAAGAGGAAAACGTGGCATAAGCCTCCCGCACACAAGTCGAGTGTTGTACTTGGCGCATGTAAGTGATATCAGGTAGAATTATGTTCAAATCTGTCTAAGACATTGGAAGAGTAATAATTGAAGCGTATAAAAGGCTGCTTTTGGCCAGTACCGCAATGCTTGACTTCAACAGCAGCTCTCGATCAAATAAATCGTGACCCCTTTTCGACTTCGCGTCATCCCGTCAAACATTTTCTACAATCATTTTGGCCATCATAATGTCTGAAAACAAAATCATAGCTATTGTTGGAGCGACGGGAAACCAGGGCTCATCCGTTGCCAAAGCCTTCCTCTCGACCCCTGGCTGGACAGTTCGTTGCCTCATCCGCAACCCGGCTTCAGAGAAAGCCCAAGCACTGTTACGGCTAGGCGCTCATATCCGGCAAGCAAATCTGGACAGTATAGACTCACTGGCGGCTGCATTCGACGGTGTTGATGTCATCTTCGCTAACACGGACTTCTGGGAGATTTGGATATCTATGGTCAACTCCGGCACTGACCAAAACACGGCTAGCTCGACCGCTTATACCAGAGAGCTGACCTGGGCGAAGAACGCGGCGATCGCAGCATCTAGAGTGCCAACCCTGAAGGGGTTCGTGTACTCCGCTTTGGCTCCTATGAAAGATGCATCAGGCGGCAAGTACACGACTTCACTCCACTGGGAGAGCAAGGCAGACACGGTCAAGTTCATTGAGAAAGAGCTTCCCGAGCTGTGGAAGAAGACCAGCCTCATTTACGTCGGAACGTATAGCACAAACCCTTTCCTGATACCGAAGAAGGATCCCGAGTCCGGGGAGTATGTGATGGCACTGCCGACCGTCAAGACTTGCAGATTCCCCATCATCAATACGCCGACCTCGGTAGGTCCCTTTGTGCGTGAGCTAGTCCTTACAGAGGACCCTGGTACAAAGCTTTTGGCGTTTGATAGGGACAGCTACCTGACCGCAGCTGAAGCATTACAGCTTTGGAGCAAGATCACTGGCAAGCCCGCCAAGTATGTGCAGTTGGGAATGAAGGAGATGGCGGAAAAGACCGGTCTCCCAATGGAGATGCTAGGCGATGCGGGCTTCTTGGGCGAGTTTTCTTTCACGCATGGAGTCGAGAGTGTAATCACACCCGATCAGCTAAAGAATAAGGTGGAGACGTCCACCTATGAGGATTATCTGAAGGCACGCAGTCTAGAGTACTTGCTTGAAGGTGGTTTTAGTCCTTTTTGATCTGGGACGTCCGGTTCATTGCTGGAATAATGCTACATTCAATTCGTATCTATTCTGTCTTCTCGGCCTTGCTAGCCTTAGTTCTCGAGAGAAGCGTTCGTAATTTGCTTTTTAGCTTCTCCTTGAGCGCTGTGGCGCTTACCTGCGGCCCTTCGTCTGCGGCAACAAACCTCCTTACTATGATATTGAACAAACCGCCAAAAGCCAAGGCAATGGCGGTCGATGTGAAGATGATGACATTATATGGCATACTGAAGTCGGGTGTTGGGAGACTCAGGAGAAGAGTCGTGGTGCGTAAATTGGAGATCGCCGACTTTGTGCCAGTTTCGGCGTCTGTGTCGACAATGGTGATAACAGCTGCTGCCACATCAAACCCTCGGTTTGCGTCAGGGGGGTACTCGGTGTATCGCAGAATCGACTTCTCGAAGTCATACGTTAGGAAAACGGTGGACTTGGGCGGGATTTGCATCCGGACTTCCAGCTGTGTCCCTCGTGCTCGATCCAATGCTGGACGATAGTACACCTCCTGAATAACATCCTTTGATTTCGACTCTGGTGGGTCTGCGACTCGAGCTTGCAGGGTGTGCAAGTAGATACGCATGAACCATGGAAGTGACTCCATGTAGACGAACTCGACGCTTTCGCTCTCACTGGGATTTGTGAGTATTGTCTGCACGCCGCCTCGTTCTTGACCGTGCCCCGTGAAACTCCGTTCGGCGTATAAAGGAGGGGTATCGGGATTGAGAAGCTCTTCGGCTTGTTTCTGAGCAGCTTCTCCTTCTTGCTCGATCTGAGGAAGAACAAGCTCGACCGAGGTCTCGGGATCCATCCTGAAACACCGAGATTGTTCACCAGGATTCTTGTGCTCCTTGACACCTTCTGAGATATACACGCTTCTGCTGTGCGGCACCTGAAGGCAGACAGGAGGGATATCGGGATCGGCTAGGGGACAAGTTCCCTTCATTGGCCGACCAAAGATCTGTGACAATGACCAGTCTTGGTTTGCACTATACTCAACAGGGAAGCACGTGTCGTCGCTGTGGTATGATTTGGACTTGTCGCATTTGAGTTCGTGACCAGGAGGCGGCCTTGGTATCGGGTTATCTGTTGAAGGTTGTATTAGTTTGGCAAGGCGTAGACACGAAGACTTTGTTCACTAACCTCTTGGTCGCTTTGACCGCTCAATGTCCAGGACCATGTCAATGGTCTGCTCAATCTCGAGAACACAATCACCGTCTTTGGGGCAGATTGGGCGAATATCGATAGCCATACTCTGCCACGATGCATCGAACAGCTTATGGCCGTCCAGTAAAGTCGCAATTCCCGCCTTGCCCTTGCAAGGTAACAGCTTCAAGAATGGTGTCAAATTTTCTGTACAGACCACTTCCCGGGGCAATGTTCCATAGAGAAGATGTGTATTTGGGGTTGTATCGTTCAAGAGGTTGCCCTCTGGCTGGAATGACATAACGGGTCTCGTTGTCCGTGTACCGTCGATGAAGTTGAGCGAGGCGCAAAAGAGGCCGGAAAGGGCGTTCGTCAAGGTCAGCCACTTCAGATCGGCTCTGTGACGGAGTTGTTTAGTCTTTGAACCTAATTCTCGGTACATCAATGGGTCAATCATACTCCTCATCACTGTCTGCCTCTAGCCAGGCCCAGATCTCAACCCCCGTGCCGCCTTCCTTGGAGCCGTCCCAGGGCCTGGCGCCCCAGCTCTGCGCATCCCATCTCCCTAAGCTAAAGCGAAGATGAAGCTCTTTGGTGCCTGCATACTGGAGAATCTGCCCCAGTGATCGCGGAAAGAAGCGGAAGTTGTGCGCCTCGAACTCGGAAAGAGAGGTGTTGGAACGGAAGTTGAAGCTTGCCAGAAGGGCCGACAGTGGCAGCGGCCTTAGCACAAGCTGCTCATAGTAGCCGGATGCAGATGAAGACGCAGACGCAGGTGCGGATGCAGAAATTTGGGGTATCAAAAGAGAAAGGAAAGACGTCAAGAAGAGAAGGAGGTGCCGCATTGTCGCCGTGCTGTGTCCATCTGCGTCCCGTCGGTCTGAGGGGCCGTGGTTAATCAAAGTCGCGGTATGCTCAGCAAGATACAAAGTGGACAGGTCGCGCTGCACTGGGGCCGGTGATTTCGGGGCTGCTGTTACAAGGGAGCTAAGCTTAAATTCCCCACTACAGCTGATTGGCTGCTGCTTGTGGTGGCGGGTCCAGCCTTGTTGGACGGCTGAGAAATTCGCTGAAAGGCAAAAGGTAGACCTCAATCCCCCTCTCCTAGTAGCCGACATCTTCACTACGACACCGTTCTTCTGTCATCTGTGGAGCACTATCGAGTGTCGCTGGAACATCAATATGGCGGCCGAGCAAAGAAAGCTTCTGGGTAAGTTGTTGAGGTGGCGGCGCAATTGCCTGGACCCAATGCTAACCATCATCCAGAGCAGCTCATGGGCGGAGGTGTTGCCGCCCGCAGCGCACAGCTCAGCTTGACCGACCCGAAGGTCTGTCGATCCTACATCGCCGGCACTTGTCCACATGATCTCTTCACGAACACGAAGCAAGATTTGGGCCCCTGCCCAAAGGTGCACTCAGAGGGCCTCAAAGCCGAGTACGAAGGGCTACCCGAGGCGGAGAAGAAGAAGTATGGCTTCGAGTGGGACTATATGCGAGACCTCCAGAAGTACATAGACGAGTGCAACCGACGCATCGATGTGGCCCAAAGGCGACTGGAGAAAACACCAGATGAGATACGGCAGACGAATGTTCTACTCAAATCGATATCCGATCTGTCGAGTAGCATCAACAACGGACTTCTGGAAGTCGAGATATTAGGAGAGCTAGGCGAAGTGGGCCGCGCATATGATGAGTTCTTCAGAGTCCGCCAGGCGATGCAGACTAAGATGGAGCGTGAGAAGGAGCTCAAGGCCCTTAGTGACACCAGTGGTCCTTCAGGCCACCAGAAGCTGCAAGTGTGCGATGTGTGCGGTGCCTACTTATCGCGACTAGACAACGATAGGCGGTTGGCGGATCACTTCTACGGAAAGATGCACTTGGGCTATGCGCAAATGCGAAAGACCTACGAGAATTTCCCGAAGGATATGCGCGGACGATCAAGACCATCCATGGCCATGGGAGATGGCGACTCAGATATGGGCGGCTTACCCACAGGTCCTGGCGGTGGAGGTGACTGGGGACGCGGCCCCCGCGGTCCTAGAGGCGGCGGCGGCGGGTATCGCGGGCGGGGCGGTAGAGGATATCGTGGGGGATGGTAAAGCAGGGCAGCATCATATATTGCTGTTCTTTGTAGTTTGCATGGCAAGGAGTTCTACGGCGTCTGAGGCTCGGTTAATAGAGTGGTTCGGTCATGGCTGTATAATGATTGAGATCAGAGGCATGATAGCAATCTGCAGATAGCAAATCTAAAAGTTTGTCGATCGCTATTTTTATTTTATATCTGGGATATCAATATGCCTTTTTTTGTTGTGCGTAGTCCACGCCCAACTGTGGTATTCTGATGCCTAATTCCAAAGGGCCCAATGTATGCATACAATGCCTTCATGCCATCACAACCAAGGTGTCCTCTCTCCTGGGTACATCATGGCTCTCATTCAGTTTTCGCATCAAGAGCAGCCATCTCATCGTCCCACTTGCCAGTTGAAGGTGACAGTGGTGAGAATGGCTGCGGCTCCGAGGTGGTGGCTGGGGCAGTCTTCTTCTCCCCTGACGAGGGCAAGGCTGGGAATTCTTCCGAGGACGGAACAGCTTGCGCTTTTGCGGACTTAGCACCGTTGCGCGGCACTCCGTCTTCTTTCGCGTCGCCATTTCTTTCGCCCTCGAAGCCGCCACGACCACCACGGCCACGAACAGGTCCCCCACGGCCCCGACCCCGGCCACGCGGTCTGGGTTCGCTCTGGAAGAACTCTGTGTCCTCCGCAGTCGCAAACTTGCTGCCTGCAAGCCCACCACCTCTGGAGCCCCGAATACCACCGTGAGCTCCTCTGAAATTGTACCCGCCCTGGCGTCTATCCTCTTCGGCCTCTCGCTCCTCCTTGCCCTCGTCCCAGCCGCCCTCCTTCATGCCCATAGCCTTGAGCTTGCGCTCACGATTCTTAGCGCGCTCATCATCCATGCGCCGCCTGTCCTCGTCCGCTCTGCGCCGCTTCTCCGCCTCTTCAGCCTTGCGTTTCCGCGCGGCCTCCATTCCGCGCTCGTAAGCAATGGCATGATCACGTTCGTCGCGCTCTGCCTGCTCGAAGCGCTTCGTCTTCTCGGCGGCCAGGATCCGCATCTTCTCCATTTTACTAGCCAACTCCTCCTCAGTCAACTTCGTCCGCGGGTTGGCGCCGGATCCCAGGCGAGCATTGGGATCGGACTTCTCGCGCGGCGCCGGCGCAGACGGCGGTCCATTGGTAGTCGGCTGGGTGGTTGTAGCAGGAGCCGGAGCGGCAGCTGAAGACGCAGTAGTGGGCTGGCTCTGCTGATTCTGCTGGTGGTTTTGACGAGGTTGGCGATGATTGTTCGAAGACTGTGGCTTGTTGTGTCGTGATTGTGCCAGGGACCTCGGGGCTGTGGGAGGTGGGGGAGCAGCTGTGGTAGCGGGCGGCTGCGTCTCTGTTTGCTCTGGCGCCGGGTTCTGATCTAAGCTCGCAGGAGCATCTGGAGTCGGCTCCCGAGGTTCAGCAGCCTTTGGTTGTGCTTGCTCTTGCTGCACTGGCTCGGTAGCTGCGACGGGCTCGAAGTCGTCGGCGAATAGATCGTCGTCTGTTCTGCCGTTGAATTGGTCATCCATGTTCGCTTCGAATAGCCCACAGGGCAGGGAGGTTATGATAGATAGAAAGGTATGTTTCACAAGGGCCTCATTGATGAACAGAACAGCTATGAGCAAGAGGAGCAGCAGCAAAAAAAATGTAGTGCTAATCTTGTGTCGACGTCTTGACAGAAGTCCCAACTAGGGAAGTGAAGAGAGGGATGGCCATGGTGGGGTTGATGGTGTCGCAGCTAAAGGAAACTAGAATGGCGGGACGGGTCATGATCCAGCAGTCCTGCGACAGCTGCTACCAGCTGGTCCCAGACAGCATCACCGCCTACATATCTACGACACCTGACCATGCTATTGTCCCCAGGACATTTCACTTGTGCTGGAGTTTTTCTTGAATCGTATATACAATTCATATCATATAAACACCAACGCGTATTCTCGAACCAGCGTCATCAAAGTTTGAACAATCAGCATCAGGCATAATCACATTTTATTTCGAATCATCGCCAAACCGAGCTGTGCATTCTTCAAGGTCCATAATGGCAGCATGTGTGCGTCGAGTTTGAATTAGCTCTGCCATTTCATAGCTCTTCAAATACTACTTGCTTTGGTGTTATCCCCCATCTGAAAGTAGGCGGACTGGGAATGTTGTCCAGAATCGAGACTGGCGCCGTCCGGGCGAGGACCTTGCCGCTCTCATCGATTGCCTCGGCAAGAACCGCCCTTTCACTCGTGTAAATAGCTTCTGCGTTGATTCGCAGATGTGTCTCGAAGCCCGTTCGGTCCACTTTCTTCAACAATCTTTGTTGCTTTGGGGCGGTCCATGATCCAACACTTCCTTCACTAGCATAGAACAGCCAATGTGATGTCTCAGTGTCACCATTCCAAGACACAAACAGGTCAACAGAGCCTTTTTCTTTGACTGCGAAAAGCGCAGGTGCTTCGCTGGGAATTCCTGTCCAATTGAAGCGGAACCCACGATAACTCTGAACCAATTTCCCTTCGGGCAGTGAGTCCAGGTAAGAGTGAAACAAAACAGTGCCATCGTCGGCGAACTCGGTGATGGCACCAGCTTGACCCCAGTTGACAAACACGTTGCCGTTGGAGAGAACCTGTGCGTTACCCTGAGACCATGCAGATAAGCTATCTGGAGCAGGGAAAGTTCGCAACGGTACGGCCGTCCCGGCTGTGTGGTTGAGCTGGATGATGCGGGCACGAGAAAAGGGGTTGATCTGGACGCCCGCCGAGTGGGCTGCATTGTCGAATAAGGAGATGGCTTCGATTGTGCCATCTTCTGAACGCCACAGGTATCGTGCATCATGTTGGAACGCGAACTTTGCATCAGGGTGGACCTCGAATGAAGAACCGCCGTGCAGCCCACCAAGTTGCCAGATGACATCGCCAGAGGTGCCGTTGATTTTGAAAACAGCAGCATAGTTGCGTGCAGAGATGAGATAGTCACCTTCATCATTCTTTTCCACGCTGTTAATGTGAAAATAGTTCCACGCATCGGAAGTATTGTAACCGGCACCAGCACCGGCTTCTGCTAACGGCAAGGCATTGTCTACAAAAGTATTCCTCAGTTAGCGGCATCATTATTGAGCATTGTTGATGCTGTTACACATACACTTGGGATCAATGTAATCAAGGCTCTCCCAATCGAACAAAACTTCACCCGTCTCTACATCAAGCTCTGGTAATCAACGGTCAGCAGTTGGTCATCTAAATGACGCCTATAGCCTGCATTAAACTTACCTTGAAAGCCACCAGATACTATCCAGTCCTGACCATTCTTTCCACCCCATGGGTTAAGGCCCACAGGCTTAGCTATCGGGGTCTCAATCAAGACAGTTTTACCATCAACAATCCTGAACTCATGAGCGGATACTAGTTTGTGGGCACCAGCTACGGACGTCTTCACGATATCGTAGCTGCTGTTGAAAATCACATGGTACCCATACATCCTTCCATGGACTTTGTCTAGTAAGCCTTGGAATCCTCGCAAGACAGGCTGTCCCTTCCATGTATCCGGCCGAAAATTGATGAACCATCCACCCGAGTACCCTAATCCTGACCAGACCAGCTCGCCATCATCGCGGTAGATATACGCGCCCGGCTGTTGTGGGCCTATAGCGTCTTCACCAAAACCATTGTAAGGAGTGATGAAGATGTAACCTTTTTCAACACGACTGCGGTCAGCAGGTACTGTGATATTGAGCCTCGGAGGCGATAAATCTGGACGAGAGCGAAACTGCCAGTCAGTGAGACCGGGTTGAACCAAAGCCAAGAAACTGGTAATGATGTGCCACTTTAAAATTCTCATCGTTGCTCTTTTACAGATGCTGCGAGAAGTAGTGAGTTCAGATAGTCGAGGTATTCTGCTATTTGCAAAGACGTGATAATATCATCGATCGATGAGCTAGTTGAATGTCGCCATCTTAGCATTACAAGCGTGCTATTAACAGCGGCAGATTCGCGAACTTCTAGCTCGCCGTAAATGGTTTGGAAGATCAATGCAATTGTGGGGGTAGCTATTGCACCATTCCCAGAACTAACTCATCGTACTATCTATTACAGTTTCCTAAGCATAAGACAACCGGTCGGTGCTCCAGCCTGGCCGAAGGTACGTGCTATCGAAAGTCATGTCGAAGCCACTAGAGTGTACGTAGTCCAGATTCCAGTCAACCTTAACTTCGGCGCCTCCCGCGCTCTGACTCCAAAGCGTGACTACAATGGTGTTGTCACCATTGTAATTCAAAATGCCAGTCGGAATCGGGAAGTCAATTTGGTTGCCGATATATGGGTTGAATCGCCCATATTGATACCCATTGACGAACAACAGAGTTCTGAAATGATTACTATACCCAGGTTTCGATGGTGCGAACGTAGAGTTTGATGGAGCGGTGAGGCGAAATGATATCGAGGCGTCCAGTCCTTTGGGGATTCTCAAGGGCACAGTTGTGCGGAAGACTCTTATGCCTGCTCCGTCAACGCTGAGAGTCTGGCTAGTGCTATCCAAACTCGACCAGTCTTGATCTGGATACCCCGGCAGATGTGCGCCTACGCGTTCCGCATGTAGACCGCCTTCGTTCAAGGGGCCGCGAACAGGATCAATGTTTGCTTCTCGCCCTGCTGTACCTGCAATCTTCCAAGATGAAAATCGGTACCCGTCGCTTGGGCCTAGTAGCGTAGCATTGGTGATGCCTCGGGGTGCGAGTGCCGCTTCCCTTAAGTCATGGCCCGAGTTATCCATGACAACGACCAATACATTATCACTACCGTCTGATTTCAAGGTGGCGTTGTCGAAAGAAAATTCCAAGGCGCCTACAACTAGATATGACAAGCCAAGATACGAACCGATGTATTCTGAGTTCAGCCATACCGAGTAACCGAATGCTAAGCCCCCAGTGATGTTCAAGAAGACTCCAGTAGGAGGTGAAGCTGTCGTGGTAAAGGTTGCACGATATATGTGATTGCCGACATGGATTTTGTACTCGTCCACGTAGAGCACAGGGTTATTCGGTGCGGGTTGAACCGAATTCGTCGTGTTGATTTTGTCCGCGACTATCTCCTAGTAAGGGTCATGCTCATTAGACGAAGGGTGCAAGGTGTACCTACCAACCCATGCATTGGTCGAAGGTGTATACTTGGGATCGACTTCGGGTAGACCGTCATCATACTTCCATGGACCAAGCGCAGGAAGATCGATCTCTCTAGGCCCTGCAGCCTTAGCCGTAATTAAGTTTCCATCTTTTGACTCAATCTTTAAGGGTGCTCCATTCCAAGTAATTGAGCAAGCTTTCCGGGGCGCAAAGACTCGAATAGTCGTTGTGGAGCTGTCAATATCTCCCGTGAGTTGCAGAGTTTTGGTTTCATTTTTGAGAGTTGCAGATCGCACAAGATACGGCCCTTGTACGAGGACTACTTCCCATTAGATCACTCGTATGCATTTTTGACGTTCTGGCGACTTACTTGTATCATTCTCGAGTGCTGACGGATTGTTGCTCAGTGTCGGGACCCAAAAGAGATATGCCGCGCTTCGATCTAAGATAAGAACACGTGAACCATCTTCCAGGTCGACTAATGCCGTGCCTTGAGTTTCGGCAAAGTTGACCGTGATGTTGTTGGTGCCAGGAACGTAATTGAGCTTTGTAGTACTGCTCGAGCTAGACTTTGCGAGCTTCGCTGACTTGACGCCATTGATGACGAATTCTCCAGACTCACCACTCGGGACCCATAGCACTAGCACCTCCTTTCCATCTATGATCGAGTATGTCAATACTTCCGCAGTCGAATATAACAGTGTCTTTCCTCCAAACTTGAAGTCAGTGACAATTATTTTCGATTGATGGCCGTTCAATGTGATCGAGCCTCCGTACTGTGGAATGGTGATGAGACCGGCAGTTGTGTTTACATGAAGACTGAATGTCTCGCGAGTGTCCGACGGAGAGTAAGCATGGCGAGTGACGTAAAATGCTGCGTTTGTGATAGGGTTGCGTAGCTCGGCAGTCGTAATTGCTTTGTTTGTCGAATACGAGGTGTCATTTCCCAATCGATCCGTCATTGCAAGGTCTTTAGCAACTCGAGTAAAAAGAGTTAGGAGCTTTGTCTCATAATACTTGCTTCCGATAGCTCGGTTTTCTGAGACTGGCGAGGAGTAGTCGTAACTAGATGCCACGACAGGTGCGGCGAGCCACCCCCAATTTGTTCCACCGAAAAGCATGTACAATGAGATGGCGCTGACTCTCTGGTAAATCAGATCCCTGTAGAACATATTTGCGAAATCAGCACCGATGTCGTTGGGGCAGCCACCTTCTGGGCCTCCCCACGGGTTATAAGATCCTCCTTGGAATTCTGGCATGGAGTTTGGCTGTGTCGGGGATTGAATTGTAAAGTAGGTATAGTATTCGGCAGTCTGATAAGCCACGTACTGCCCGTTCGTGCCCGTACATTCGCTTAGGTTGCACTAAGGTTGAAAGTCAGGATTGGAGCGGAAGGAGGAAAACATCAGAATCTCTTACACTCCAGCAAGATGGATAACTATCCAAGCCCACAACATCAACGTTGCCGGTGGCATTTGAGAAGTCTTTAGACCAGGAGTATCCGTTCATGTTCGGGGCGTTGTGAGTCAATGGAATATCAATTCCGCTAGACCTTGCGCTGTCCTCCAGAAGCTGCATGTAGTTGGCGATGGGTGGATTCAGCGTCCTAGCCGCAATGTTTTTCCACTGACCGTTCAATTCATTCTCTATTTGAAACATGATCACATTACCTCCATGCGTAATCAGATGAGGTTTGATGATTTCGGAGATCTTGGTCCAATATGGAGTCCATGCAGCGGTGTATCGATCATCGTCGTCCCTCAACGAGCCGAACTCGCCAGTCGTGAGCCACAGTGGAAATCCACCAGCATTTGCTTCTGCATTGACATATGGCCCAGGTCGAACAATCATATACATACCTAGCTCTTTTGCTAGGGTCATGATCGATGTAAAATTGTGAGCACCTGTCGAGAAATCAAGATCATCCTCCGAAGGGCTATGGTAACCCCAAGAATTATAGACTGAGAAAGCATTGAAGCTGCGCTCTAAATTAGCAGCTCGTTAAGTCAAAACTTTGATACTAACTTACCCTGCAGCTTTGACCTTCTCTAGAAGATCTCGCCATAGTTCTGGTCTATGATCAAGTCAACAAGGAAATTCGCTTGCCTTGCTGAAGCATGCCATAACTTACACCGGATATCGCCAGTAGTGGAACTACTGCGTGTCAATTCGCGGCAATACGAAATCAAGGCTTAGAACATACCTCGCCTGAAAAGACGAAGAGCCGATGGCCATTCACGAGATAACTATAATGATCCCTAAAAAGGTTGCACTCAGCATGGACCGACTCATAGTTTGCAGAAGCTACAGCTTACCACTCGACCAACGTTGTTAAACCATTATCATGTAGTGGCCAATCGGTCCCATTGGGTTGTTGCTGTGCTGAAGTAATTGCAAGCAGCGCACTAGCAACATACAAAGCTCTGATTAGAACCTTCATTTTTCTCGTTAGTTTCTAGGTCTAAGATGCCAGCGACAGATGACAATCTAATTGATTCAATTAATGAAGACATTTTGAGCACTGAACAGCTAGTATCAAGACGGAAAAATTGGAAAGTATCGACGACGGTAATTCGACCGCCAAAACACCCTACCCTGCCCGGCCAACACTGTACCGAACGCTGTGGGGAGATGACGAGATATGCGGGGGAGCCCGGGGACATCGCGGCGGAATTTCTTTGCCCATATGTGGGGAGACAATAGCGTTACAACGCCATTTAACCAGTCAAGGGTCCTGGTGGCCGGCTGTAGTAATCTTTTGAGTTTGACTGTGGAGATACCAGATCGCTGAAATTGTATCAAGGAATCGGAAATACTGCCGAGCAATCCATGACACTTGTTCACCAAATGTGCAGGCTTGCGGCCCGTATTCGCGGATGGTGTTCCTCGAACCATAGAACGCATCAGTGGATCTCTATCCAACAATCTTGCATCCGTTCTAGATCCTCGTTTATGTGCCGCGCGATATCACCGTGCATCAAATTCGATACGTAGCACTCGCCTATGAGCAAGTAGGCGGCCCCATCTCGTCTTAAAACGAAGGGGACGTCAGCCCCATACAGAATACAAATCACATCGCCCGGTTCCATAGCTTCGGGACCGACCCCAATCATTCCACGGGATGTCGTGAAACGATGACGGCGAGCGCAGACAGTTGTTGCCGCGTCGAGAAATCGGTCAGCATTGCCTCCATCCGCAAGTGTCTCGAGAGCCGCGAATGTGATGTACTCCTCGTGCGAGTTCTCTTTCATGTCATAACTCCCTTCTTTTGTTGCGCCCTTATCACTGGCTGGGTGATCTGCCCATGCATCATCCCGGAGAGACCAGAGCAGTCCTTGGTAAAGCAAGCAACGCGCATAATCAGCTACGTGTGCCGCGACATCCTCTATCGGTAGGCCGTACCAAGTCTGACCAGCGGTGAGAGTAAGGGCAATTTTTTCAAGGTCTTGGCTCGTACGACTGGTCTTCTTTAGCTGTTTGCTTATCTTCGCCACTCGCCTCCTCTTGTTCGCCTTGTCAGATCCGCGATAGAAGTAATCGAGAGAGTCGTATTTCCCTAATGCGCTGATACTATCAACAGCGATGCCGCGCACAGCCAATATGGTTGAATCACCAGTATCTCGACGTTCAAGTGATTTGCCTCTTGAAGCGGCAAAATGTGTACTTGGCTGAAACGGGCTGAGCGTATGCGTTAAAAGTACATTCCATTGAGGCACCCAGCTTGGAAGGCTGTTATTGAAAGTATTCTGTGGAGGGTGCCACAGATCTATTGGTCTCCCACGTTGGACACTCGATAAAAGAGTCAATGATGATGAGGAATCGACTATTCTTCTCGCCACATTATAATAGACTTCTGCAACTGACTTGCCGTAGTCCGGAACAATGTCTTGCTTGATTTGGTCTGTTGTCGGAAGCCCCAACAAGCCAAAAATCCTGTCTCGGTGATCTTTACATCCAAAATGGCGAGTGAGCTTCAGTAGATCAAGAAAAGAAAATTCCAAAGGCGTCGAATATGCTTGTGACTTTGAAAGTCGATAGATGAAGTATGCATTAGTGACCCCAGCTGGCACTCGGCGAGAAGGCATCTGCCGGAAGTATGGGTTTTCTTGGTGCCCCCTGACAGAACCCGAGATTCTATCGAAGTTGGTTCTGATGATAGCAGCTGCTAAGCCCAGCCAGTCCCAAGAGATCTCACACTCATCCCAGACCACGATAGCAGTCCGGGCTAGGACTACTTCCTGAATTACCCAAAGCCGGGAAAACCATCTACAGCGGTACAATTTGAACACAAAATTCCACAAGCTTGACTTGGCTGAGAGCGTATTGAATCGTGCTCCTGCTGACAGAGGCATAACGTCGATAGAATGATATGCCTCAGGGATGACAGTCTTGTTATTCATCTGTCGCCAATCGTTCACGAGGGAACACACAGCCGAAAATGCAAGGTAAGCAGACCGAAGAGGGATTGGAGGTTGCGGGTTGAAATCCTGATGTTCTTCGTAGCCTAGCCAAATAATAACTTGGAAAGCATTTTCGAATATTGAGCTCATTTTTCAGACCTGATGATTTCGTTCTGTGATATCTTGCTGATTTATGCATAGAGCGTCCGCCCAGATAATTCGGGGTTTGGCCATTCTGCGAAGCCTGCGGAGGCCGTTAACAAGATTAGAGCCAATCTGAACCTCGACTCCATTACACCATATCCGAGATTCGGTGAAATCCTGTCGCAACGACCAAGTGTAAGATAAAGCTTCATACGAATTCCGGTCATCCGGCAGATAGCCCACATGTAATTTGCATTGCAAGGGGCCATCAGATCCGGGCAAGATTTCTAAGAGCCGAACATGATTCTCCGATGGTAGAGCCTCATACAAGACCGGGTTTATTGTGGGCGAAGGCAGACCGCATCTACACCCACCAATACTTCGGCAGATAAAATCACGGGGACTCTCGGTTTTATCTTGTTGAGGTAATGGAGAAAACCCCGGCAAAACACCCGGAGTAGCTAGATGGGCTGTTAAATCTTGGTCTCGCATCAAGCTCCCTTGGCTGTAGAAAGGATAATTGTAGGTTTGAACTGTAGCCATATTAGAACGCCAGGATTTTCGTGGTGGACTACTGCGTTGACGCACTGTTGCATGCTATTGAAAGTGCTTTCTCTGGCGGTGGATCAGGATCTTGCCATAACAGCTCTGGGCTCCGAAGAAATGACACATGGTTCGCGCCGTCCTGATCATTGTCTGTACTGCTTTGACTGTCGTAGGTTTCATCGCTGAGTATTTCATCCTCAGAACTCTGGGAGATATCAGCGAGCGGTTCGGTATTCAGGCTTTGAGAAACATTTTCTTCGCTTATAATTCCTCCGTTCAAGTGGGCATCTACCTGGCAATCTGCCTGAATCACTTTCGACATCCGAATCGATTATGTCGCGTTCAAGATGGAGTGTCATGTAAGGTACATTTGAGCCCTGGGATAGTTTGCAGATAATTGATGCTGCTGCAATTCACGAAGGCTCGACTAGGGTATACGCAGCTGGAGGATTTGAGGTAAGTTGAAATCAAACTGCGCGGGCAAAACAGAGCCTCCCCTAGGATGCCTAAGCGAGTCTTCCGTAGCCGTACCCCTGTTGTACAGTAAATGCGCACTTGGCTATCAGTGCTACACGTGCAGTATTTCTCCGCATGCGAGCATCTGCATCGCTATTAGCAGCATCTCAGCAACAATCTGCTCAGGGCTACATGTTCACCCCAAATTGCTATAAATATCTCTGGCCACCATAATCTCACTTACTACTGGTGCAAGTAGCAACAAATTTCCGCGTTTCGATTAGACCCTTCCCCGCGAATTACTTGATAAAGCTCTGGAGAAACATCATGTTCTCTGAATAGCCGTTCGAATGATGGATAATATTACTCAATTTATTGTTGAACATTCTGAGTATACTCTTGAATAATCCGTACTGCGTCCTCAAGGGTGTAATCCATGAGCTCGAGCATATTACCCCACCTGTCTTCAACATAGCAGGATTTATTAGGGAAAGCCGGCATAGTAGTTCCAACCTTCTTGCCTCTATTTGCAGGCACTTTCTCACACAGGCCATCAACATCCTTTGTCGTGATACCGACATGATAGAACCCTCTTTTGTGGAAGTCTCGAGCGAAAGTGTACTACTCGCCCGGTTGCATCTTTGGTTCTTTGAATTCAAACAGCTCTAGAGCCGCCCCTTGCCCAGCGCTCAAGAACGCCACGCTAAAGCTCTGCAGGCTTGAGGGGTACACCGTAAACACGGGCATGTCAGGCATTGATGCCCGATCACAGCTCATGATAGGGAACATGAGTTTGAAACCAAACACCTGATCATACCACTTGGCTGCCTCTTCTATGTCTGGCACCGAGAGTGAGATGTGGTTGATTGGTGAAATAGAAGACTACATGCGCAATTAGTACGATCCAAGACAAATCAAATAGGCGAGAGAAAAGGAACCGACGGTCATTGTGACAGAGACTCTTGCTAGGACTCGAAGATGTGTTGCTATCAATATATGCTCGTTTTGAGCTGATGTATGGGGCCTTTGACTTGAGTGTCTTCCCCGTCTTTGCAACGGATTGCTCGGAGAAACACTCCAACAGTCTTACGCGATGTGGACTCCTTCAAAATATCTAGCCCTGGTTCTGGATACTGGCAGATGTGCTGTCTTCTGACACCGTTAGATGTAGTCATCGCTACTTACGCACAAGGGCGGCACAGAGCCATGATAGCGCATAGGCGCCAGAACAAATGACTATGTGTATCCTAACACAAATGATTCACGAAGGCTCGACCTCGGCTGGATTTCACTCCCGAGTATTAGCAAATGTTAGATAGCCAATGAGAAACAGTCGGAATATAGGGAAGGATTCGCATATACGCGCTAGATATACCTCAAAGCAACAGTTTTGCGGCACCCGGTTGATCTTCCACACTCATAGAGACGCCAAAATCTTGGTGGTCAGTTGATGGAAGGTCTGCGGGGAAATCACAAGGCTTGGCAACGTCTGCGCCAAACCATCCTTTCGTTGTCACGAGGGGATGCGTGGTTCCTTGTATTTTGCACTATTTAAAAGAGTGCCTTCAATCCATGGCAACACGCAATCCTGAGTCTTTCTGCCTTACGGGGTGCCGTTGTCTAATAAATAGACATACTTGTAACATCAGGCTGCATGGGTTCGAGAGCCAGCTTAGATCAGATTTAGTAAAATCGGTACTTTGAAGAGCGACCCATGCTTCATGGTAGCGCTTTGAGATTGAAAACCGCTAGTGGAGCCTGTAGACTAGACTCATCTCTTAGGTAGATCTTTCGATACATGCTCCAACATGCCCCTGTTCCTTTGAAGTTCTTATGGGCTTAGGACTCTTTTTTTCGAACACAACACAAATCTTGGTAGGCAGCGTCTTGGCACTGCAATTTACTTCTAGTTGCTTTTTGGAGTAGTATTCAGAGTCCTCCCGACAATTTCAGAAAGTTATATCAGCGGGTGAACAAGAAGTTCAGTAATCCGCAATCTCGCTAGAAGCTGACAGCCGTGTATACCCGCGGCATGGTAGAATTACTTGAAAACAATATTGTCAGATCTCCGTGAAGAGCGGTTGCCTCATCCATTTGTTGTGGATCGCCACAGCCTTACCGAGGGCTGAGGGCACTATTCGGCTTTGAAGGCCAGTAACTTTTTGTGCCAATAGCGTCAGTTAATACGGACTCTAACTATAGAACTACGGACTACCTGAAAGAAAGAAGGCTGAGGTAAGCTCAAGCTCACGTCATTGGCTGACCTCTTGACTGTGGCTGTACTGTGATAGGGTGGGAGCTTCATGTAAGACATCCATCACGAACCACATGATAGTTTTCCTAAGAAAGGTATCTAACAGCTGGGGGTTTATTCCTATGGAGAGCCTTCTTGAGTCCGAGATATATAAGTGACTTTGCGTGTAAAGTGACGTCTATAATCAAGTATAAATCCAGGTCTCCCATACTTGAAACAAGTTTGACTCCTCCATCTCAATTCTTAACCAATATCTAACAACAATTTTCAAATTCCATTCAATACTCAAAGTTACATAATGGCTAACAAGCGATCATACAATGGCCACCATGGTCACAATGGACACCATCATCACGAGCCGCATCCTGACACTATGGAGGTTGTTATGTGGGAAGGAAAGCCATTCGAGATGGCGACTCGCAAGGTTCCTCGGGCCAAGATTATCGACAAGAACGACGCTGTAGTACGCGTTACTACTGCAGCTATTTGCGGAACAGATTTGCACACATATCATGGCATCTTTGGAAGCTCCGAAGTCCCTTGGCCAATGGGCCACGAGGCAATGGGCATCGTTGTTGAGGTTGGATCCGCCGTTGAATCAATCAAAATTGGCGACCGGGTAGTCATTGCCGATTTTCCTGATGATGGTCATTTCAATCTCGAGCCCACTCTGCTACAGTCTTTTACCGCCTTCGGATTAGGCAAGGACTTTGGCAATCTTGGCGGTTGCCAGGCCGAATTTGTCCGCGTGCCCTTTGCAGACGACTCTCTGATCAACGTTGGCAACTCGCAAATACCTGACAAGGAATTTCTTTTTCTCTCTGACATTTTCGCAACGGCCTGGGGTTGTCTTGACTTTTCTGGGTTTCAACCGGGCGACGATGTCACAGTCTTTGGTGCTGGTCCAGTAGGACTTCTATGTGCGTACAGCGCCATTATCAGAGGTGCTAGCCGGGTTTTCTCTGTCGACCACATCCCAGCACGACTGGAGAAAGCCAAGTCTATCGGCGCCATTCCGATCGATTTTACCAAGGGTGAACCATCGGAGCAGATTCTGAAAATTGTCCCAAATGGCACGACTCGATCTTGTGATTGCATTGGCTATGAGTGTCTCAATACTAAGCTTAAGCCAGAGCAGAACTTTGTCATCACTCAAGCTGTCAAGGTCACTTCAACAGGAGGTGGAATTGGAGTTATCGGCGTTTACTTTGCTGAACCAAACACGAAGGGCACGCCTCGTGGCTCCATCATCTCTCCAACTATCACTTTTCCGATGACAGCCTGGTGGGAGAAGAACTTGAGCATGCGTGGAGGTGGTGTCGACGCCAAAGCCATTGCACCAATCTTGTTTGAACTTGTTAAGACTGGCCGGGCCCGACCTGGCTTCATTGTTTCGGGAGAATACGAGCTCAAGGATGCTCCTGAAGCCTACCGTCGTTTCGATAGAAAAGAGGAGACCAAGGTATTGTTCAAGTTTAAATGGTCACGAGAGTTTGAGGACCTCGAAGAAAACGCTCGACAAATCGAATCCTCCAGCAGCGAAGAGGTAAACGACAGTGACAACAACGGATTCGCTAGCTACGACGAGTTCACCAGGTAAAATACGACTACTGCATCTGCACCTTTAGATTATAAGCTAATACTACTATAGTGGACGATGGGCAAAAAGACTCAGGAACTACTAAAATGGAATGAAACCGGTGATGGGATAGCAAGATCTCCTCGAGCATAACTGGCATCAAAATCAATGGGTTGGTTGGCTTACAAAATTGAATGAAGATGTGGGAATCAAACATGCCATTGCTTTAATTGCATTTTCTAAATACACGTTCATAACTCATTGAATTCGATTGTGTCTTTGCTGTTCTAGTTCTCCTCTCACAACTTTGGGCGTTCCAACAAGAGTATCGAGTATAGGTGGGAGGTGTCCTCTGCAAGCTGTATACCCTAGTGCATGTGGGGGATAGCAAGTGCACTAGAATCCCCTATCTAATGCTAGCTAAAGTCGTCTGACGTTAGGCCAATTCAACGCGGTGACCGGAAGCGCCCCGAGCCTTGGCGGCAGCGTGGCGCTAGACTTATCGGCGGATTTGCCTGCCCCTTTCAGAATTGCTGACCCCGTTAAAGAACCAATGACCCAGCTTCGCGATCCTGAGGATTTATTGGTTAATTCTTTAACCTTGCAGGTCCATATACGCCGATAACCATCTCATTTCTCACCCTCATACGTAGTCAGCAAGCCCGGCAAGGCCGTCTAGAGCAACATTGCTTAGACTTACTTGACAATTCACTCATATTCGTGGCTACCGCGACGCGCGTGTTATAACAGAGAAGCAGTATGCTCGCGCCACCAGTTCTAGGCCTCCTGTCCCAGCACGTCCTGCAGGGGGTGGTTGATCCCGTTCAGTCATATGAGACGAGCGCCATACCACTTCGTCAACTGAATGACACGGTTTGCCCAGCGTTTACAGACCACTTCACAGGGTCTATAGCCCTTCCTCATGGGAAAGATCTATTCTACTGTTAGCGGGCTCCCTTTGAGCGTCCTTATTAATGAGATCATTCTGATCGTTGAGATAGGGCTGTTTCGGAGCGCATCTGATCCGGATAATGATCCGACCGTGGTTTGGCTGAGTGGGTAAGTCTTTGATACATAAACATTGAACTAAGAGATTTTGGTCTAATAGTGGCCTAACCGACAGTGGTCCTGGAGCTGGTAGTACTTTGGCGGCCGTTACGGAAGTAGGGCCCTGCCGGGTGAATTGGACTGACAATAGTACCTACCACAACCCTCATCATTGGGCGAAAAACGCAAATTTGCTGATTCTCGAGTATGGACTGCGTGACTTGTGCTGATGGTTCCTTGAACTCTCCATGTTGACTGACATCATCTTAGTCAACCTGCTGGGGCGGGCTTTTCCAGCCCCAGTCCCGATCCCGAGTATCAAGTCACTACGCTTGAGCAAGCAGCGGAGGACTTCGTGGATTTTATGTACCAGTTTATGACGGATGTGTTTCCTAAACTATCCAATAGCACGCTACATATCGCTGCAGAGTCCTACGGAGGCAGATGGGCACCCTTTTTCATGCATCGTTTGAAGAGCCTATCCGAAGTCAGATCTCTGAGGGCCCTTCCTAATCCTTTGGGGTCGATGATTCTCGTGGATGCTGTTATTGGAACGATTGGTGGCGACATTACATCATCATACTATGAGTTCGGCTGCTCGCCGGACGGCTCAGCAACCAAGCTCGGTTTTGGTTTCAATTCCACTATATGCGATCTGATACAAGAATATGGACCGACTTGCGAATACTATGCAACACTTTGCGAATCAACTGACAACATCTCGGTATGCAAGGACGCAACAAGATACTGCCAGGACCACATTAGCAGCAAGATACCTCTCCAGTCGCGCAATATGTACAATGGTTTGTGCTGTCCCAAGTTATCTTATCTCATTAAGAGCTTATTCTAATATTATCCGCAGTGGCACAGCCTTGCAAATACCCTGAAGATTTATGCATTCAAGACTGGAAAGCAGCCGTCAACTTCTTTAATCAAAGCCTCGTGAAGGATGCAATGGGAGTTCAAGACCGGACATGGACTCCGATAAGTTTCGATATCTCGAATGGTTTCATGGATAGTGGTGCTTATGCTCAATCCATTATCCCAAAGCTAAAAGATCTCCTTAACTCCGGTACAACTCCTGTCCTTGTCATGAATGGAGACCTCGATAGCTTGGTGTAAGTTTTCTCCCTGCAATTGTTTGGAGTAATCGCCGTGATTGTGGCCAGTTACTTACATTCCGGTATCAAGCATAACCGAGGGTCAAATTCGAATCTTCGATAAGCTGCCCTGGAGAGGTCAAATCAACTTTCGGCAGCAGCCTTGGAGGACCTGGATTGCGCAAGATGACATTCTCGGCGTGTCCCGAGGACGCGTGAAGAATTCAACTGGCTTGACATTTGCCACATTTGAAAACGCTGGCCACATGGTTCCAGGCGATGATCCGCTCGGAGCATGTGCTATTCTATCTGAGTGGTTAAAGGTCTGAAGGTGTTGATGACGGGCTGTGCGTGCGGGTATTCGTTTCTGATATAGATACGTATACAGCATTAACTTTAGGTGGACATCTTGTACAGCAAAATGTGCAATGGAATGTTACGGATTGTATTCACAGGCTCTGTGATGGATTCAGTTAGAGTCCTGAAGGTATCAGCGGTGAATATTATTCGGTGCTTCGTGCCCAACAAGTGCATAGCAGAACATGAGCCAATCGTCTCAACGATTTCAGTTGTTCGCAAAGTGCTTGAACACTATCATTAGTAGCATTTCATGCTCCCGTGATTTAACTATCCGGCCGTGATAAGATCATAATATCATAATATATCCTTTTAATGCGTCGTTAAAAAGAAAGGTAGTTGCTCGACATTGCGAAAGGCCATGTCCAATCCTGGAGAAGCTCGTCTGGTAGTTGGAATTGAGGCGATAGATCAGGAAGCTCTGCAGCCTCCCAGGTATTCGAGGATGGGTCATGAAACACTGGTGCTGTCAAGTCAGCGCTAGTGTGTGCCTGGACAGGACGACCGGCTCTTGACTCCATATACTCCTCGATACGTCCAACCAAATTTCGTAGCCGTTGGCCTGCACCAGCGCTTCGATGTAGAAATGCTTCTAAACTTTCCAGGAGAGCCGCCATCGAAAGCAACAAGTCCCTTACGCGGCGACAAGAACTTTCTGATAGTGGTCCTTCCATCACTGAACCTAAGATAATGCCTATGCCACCAATATGGTATATGAGAGGCGTGCTAATTGCTCTAAGATATGGCTTTGGCACTTGATGAAAGATCGACAGTACGTCGCTAACAACAGAGCATTTCTTCTGTAGATCGACGTCAACCTCGAGTGACAAGTAGACCATCCGTAGAAGAGCCATGGTAGCCTGAATATTTGCAGCCTGAAACCCATATATGTCTCTTGTAGGATCGCCTGTTGCTGGCTGGAGCTGTTTGAAGATCGGTGGTAATGTGGAATATAACTCAGTCACTCGGTCTTGACTGGCGACGCTGAATGACCCTCGAGTGGTAGAATCATCAAGCAGGTTGAATCTTGACGATCGAGAGCGTAACCTACTTAGGTTGTGCTCGAGTATGCGGTAAAGATCAGTTGTAAAGTTCCAACCTACCATCCAATCGGTCCCGTCAGTCGCGCTATCGTGTTCGTGCGCCTTTCCAGTCGGATATTCCACTTTTGCGTGGCCTTCTTGAAAATGAATGCATCCATCCCAAACGATGGATGAGTATATGTCAAGCGTGTAAATGGACCAGTACTACGGGAATTAGCATGATTTGACAAAATGTTAGTGGCTTGCAACTTACTAGTCTGCGCCTTTCCTCAATCTCTACGGGTTGTAACCCCGTCGGCCAGTTCGACTCGTCGTGCCATTGGTTGATGGAAAGTATCGTAAAGTAGTGACCAATGTACATCTGCATTGCTCCTATTTTGGCATCTTGAATACTCGCTAATGCTAGGAGTGCGTATCCCCTGAGATAGTCGAAATCCTGACACTGAAGCAGATCTTTGGGTAGTGCCTCTTCAGCTGCAGCAAAAAAGGCCTCCGGTGGTATTCTGAGCAGTCCGTCTTGCTGAGAACCAAGAGCACCGTCTCTTAGCCTTGCAGAAGCCAGAGCACAAGCCGCCATGACAGTGCAGAAGAAGGCACGGTTGCGAGCATGCTCGACGACTCCAAGTCTTGCCTGGAGCTTCGTAAAGTCAAAGAAAGGGAAGCTGTATTACAAATTAGCACATGAGAATGACAGATCAAATTGCTAAGACAAGCGCTTCTGTTGAATTTCATTAGACATACATTGGATGTACTGTTTCATGGTATACAGAGAGAAGTCGTTTGATTGTAGGTGTAGATGTTCGAGCGAAGCCTTGCCACGCCGGACTCAGAGGCTCAATCCACCTCTCACTGTTGGCCGAACTGCTTGCATCGCCTAGGTCAACGCGTCCATAAGCAGCCTGTGAGTCATGCGGAGGTGCCGATATCACATCAAGAGGGGCATGATTCTGCAAGGAAGGGGAGGTATCATCTGGGCCGCTCAGCTGATCGCTAACGCGAGTGGGCTGTGGCGAGCCCCTCCCTCGTCTCGATGGCCTGGCATATGTGCATGCAATATCAAAATCTGTGCAGTTCTGGCAACGGCCCGGGTTCAGGGGGTTGCTCTGGCACTTGATACGGCGTTTATGACAGAAGTCGCCTAGTGTTATGTCAGCATGGAAACCGGTTAGAGCCCGGATAAGTAACGTGAACAGATTGACCCTTACAAGCTTTTGAGATGCGGAGGAGCCGACGAGGGCGGTTGGCGGACATCTATGTGGAAGGCTTCAAGACATTCCATACAATTTCTACGCGGATGATGAGCAACCTGGCTGCGGCAGCGGGGACCTCGACGGAGCAAGTATGGAGGTGGTTAGATTAGATCGACGACGATGGAACACGCCAACAAAATTTTGCGGAGTAAGATCCATTGGCGAGCTAGTGGCTCATTAAGGTTGGAACTATTGAGGAGAAGTGGGCCTCCTCTGATCAGCTCTTCACTTACTCAGAGTAGCAGTGAGGTCGCGTCTTAGGAATGCGTTCGTGAATTTCATGTGGTACGCACGTGATGGCCCCTTCCAGCCCATGCATTCCTGTCTTGTTATGGCAACATGGTGCATAGTTGCAAGACGAAGCTTCCGGTGGGACCTAGGTCGTAGTCACTTTCGCTTCCGAAAAGTGGTTGAACAAACATCATAAGTGGAGTATATGGAAATTTCCTGAGATTCGTTTGGGTATCATCTATTTCTTCCGAGTCTACCACTTATTATTGAATACTTCGCCGTTGACATAATTGATCATCTCCTTCACTGCGTCGAGCTTGTCTCGGCCCCCGCCAAACAGCATGCCCTTTCGCATTACTCTCCTGTAATTCTCTCCTGGATTAACCTTGCCAAGAACATAAGGCCTCCGTGTTTCCACTCTGTCAGGAACAGGGATACTGCGGCCAACAATAGCCTCCATGCCTTGCCAGGCAAATGTGACGGCTTCCTTAGCTCCACCAGGAATTCCTGCATCATCAAGCATGAACATCTTGACATTTGGGAACTGCTCCTTCATGTAGTCAGTGATGTTAGGATTATAAGCACCACCTCCGCACATAAACACCTCATCAACTGGGCGGTCTTTCGGCGCATAACGGCGCCAATGGTTCACGATGGCTTGAGAAGTGATTCTTGTGACAGTGGCAACAACGTCGTCAGCTGATAGACCCAGCTCAGCGCCCTCCTTGATTAAGTCATCGGCCAATGTATCCCGGAAGACTTCTCTACCGGTCGTCTTTGGCGGGTCCCAGCTGAAATAAGGTATCCTCTGAAAGAATCCGTCGACCATGTCTTGGTTGACTGTGCCTCTCTTTCCCATTTCACCATCTTTGTCGTATTCTTGCTCCCCGTTTGTATAATGACGAACCACGGCGTCAATCAAGGCGTTGCCCGGACCAGTATCAAAGTCATAGGCTCGATCAGGGCCTTCGGGGGGAATGAAGCACACATTTGCAATACCACCAATGTTTTGGCACGCCCGGAGCTTGCTAGGGTGGTGCAGCAGCAAAGCATCAAAAAAGGCGATCAACGGTGCACCTTGGCGTCCCGCGGCTTGGTCTGAGACTCTGAAATCCGTCACTGTCGTGACGCCTGTCCGAGATGCCATGAAGGTGCCTTCAGCCATTGTCAAAGCAGATTTGGGTATCCCCTCGTCTGGCATGCTCGCAAGCCAGATAGTCTGACCATGCGAGCCAATAGCGTCGAGGCTCTTGAGATCAACATCATGCTCTTTGCAGAATTCGATTGCAGCGGACGCAAACGTCTCTCCCAGAAGAACATTGACTTCGGAAAGCTCTGATGCAGATGTCTTATCATGCTTGATGATCGAGAGCACGCGCTTCTTGAGTTTCAGATTCAGGGGCACTTCTCCGTATTTCAGGAGAGAAAAGTGCATTGGCGACTCTGGGGTTTCTTGACGAAAGTGACATAATGCGCAATCAATGCCATCCTGCTCTCATTAGCCACCATGGTTTATAGACATCAGTAAACAGTACACTTACCATTGATGTGCCGCTGTTCATGCCAAGAACTGTGAGATCAAGAGGTTGCCCATGAGAGGTACCGTTTGTCTCTGCAGCCTGGTTGCCATTTGTCACAGTACCCTGAGCCATCTTTGTTCAAGGTGACAAAAGTGATGGATTGTAGCCGAGGGAATGACTAGTGGTACTTGAATCCTGTTCAAGACTATTGCGCGACGCGGAAAGGCCTCTTATTTCAATTTTCGTCAATCGTGGTGCAATCTAAACACGCCTCGAGTCATGATTAGATGCTTTGTCTGTTGCACGAGCACATGATCAATGCATCTTGATTCATTGTCCGATCTTATGATCAGATGAGAACCCTTGAAGGAAGAGATTAGACCCTTTTTCAGAAGGCTAGACGCTTAAGCGGCTGAGCGGCGGGCGCTAAGACGCTTACACGCTTCTTCGGCTACACGGCTACAAGGCTGTACGTGGCATTGACGAATCACACCACCAGAAGCGTCGCCACACCCCGGCAAACCCTTCGTTCCAATATACTCATCTCCCGTTTTCTGGGGATCGAAGAAGGCCTATGCGGGGCGTGGGGCTTTGTCCGGGGCATTCAGTACCATCGGCTGACATGACAAACACGCTTTAGTTTCGAGCGTTTCCAGGTTGCCGGGTTCTTGGGGAAACAAGTTTTGTTTGTCTACATTTAAGAAGATCTACATAAGATGCGCTGACTGCCGCTTTCTGGCATCTGGGCAGGATCAATAATCGTACACGTCGCGTCTCCATTCGTGCTGTGACGCTTTCACGTTCATCATGGGGTTCACAACGGCGTGGAAGAGGCTCTCGCCTACCAAACTCAATATCGCAATCCAGACTTTCTCTCTCATCAGCATTTTCTTCGAAGGATATGACCAAGGAGTCATGGGTGGTGTTAATGCATCTCCAAAGTATGTTCAAGAAGTTGGGATTGGCTTGCCGGACGGTACAGTCACGTCAACTGTTCACCAAGGTGGCATCGTCTCCATATACTATTTAGGATGCATTTTCGGTTGCTTCTCAGGAGGTTATCTAGCAGACAGGATCGGTCGTATCAACGGGTATGTCAACAGCGTCTTCACTATTCTCAACGAGTCTCTTATCTAATCATTCGTTCAGTCTCTTCATTTCTGCATGGTTTGCTCTGATCGGTGGCGCTCTCCAGGCTGCCACTCAGTCGAGTGACTTCATTCTGGTCGCTCGTGTTATTACTGGCATTGGCACAGGCGCTCTTACTGGCATCACGCCGGTGCTTGTTTCCGAAACATCAACAGCACAACACAGAGGCGGGTACCTGGGATATGTGTTCATTGCCAATTACCTCGGTATCGCGGTGGCCTATTGGCTTTCTTTCGGTCTATCGTTCGTGGACGGCGGCTACTCAGACGTTCGTTGGCGCTTTCTGCTTGCATTCCAGTGCTTCCCTGCACTACTGCTCCTGGCTGGCATCAAGTTTCTACCCGACAGTCCTCGATATCTTGCGTCAGTCGGCCGACTAGATGACGCACGAGAAGTTTTAGAGCACGTTCGTGGCAACTCAGGTCCCGAAGTTCAACACGAATTCCTTGAAATAGCTGCTGTTGCCAAGGGGAGCCAGAAAAGCTCACCCATCCAATTCGCCAAGATTTTGGCTGGAAAGGGTGGAAAGCCTGGTCATCATCTTGGCCGACGAGCATGGCTTTGCTTGATTCTACAAATAATGGCATCATGGACTGGTATCACAGCCGTCACCGCGTACTCCCCTGTCCTGCTTTCCGCCGCAGGATATGACTCGTTGACCCAGAATGGCCTCGCGGGTGGCCTAAGTACTGTTGGTATCATCGGAACCATCATCAGCGCACAGATCGTTGACCGTCTGGGTCGCCGCACATGTCTTATGGGAGGTGCTTTTGGTCTGTTCGCCGTTAATCTCATTGCTGCGAGCGTTTACGAAGGTGCGCGAGCACATCCCGACAAGTCATCGCAGTTTGCTCCAGCTGCTGTAACTATGCTGTTCCTCTTCAACATCTGTTATGCTGCAACCTGGGGTACTGTCGCCTTCCTTGTGCCTACAGAGATTTGGTCTTCGGACATGAGGGCACAAGGCAATGGATTTGGAATCACTGGCTGGGCAATTGGCGTTGGCTGGACTGTTCTCGTCAATCCCATCATGTTCGATAAGCTCGAAAATAGGACTTATTTCCTTTTCGCTGGGCTGAATCTTTTGTGGATCCCAATTGTGTACTTCTGTAAGTTATATCCACACATGTCATCCTAATGAAGAGAGCCCCAGTTAACAAGCCACTTCAGTCTATCCTGAGACTGCGGACCGATCATTAGAGTCCATCGACGCACTATTTTCTACCAACAGCCCATTCAACTGGGCCATGGAGCGGGCGTATCGTGAACATGGCGACGTGCTGGCTGAGATGAGACAGTCGGATGTGTCCGTGAAGGAGGATGGGAGCGAGGGGGAGAGGACACATGAAATCAAGCACGCGGAGGTTTGAGAAAGAATATTTTACACTGCGCAATTAGTGCAAGCCATCTCGCGATATCGGAAGCGAGTAAAGAATGGCGTACTAATTCGCTGGTAATGTTGGGATAATTTTGATGTGAAAAGTGTTTGTCCAGTACGAATTACTTTCCACTACATAGATATTGACTGCACAACATGACAACTTCTGCTGCAGAATATCAACTCTTTATGAATGGCAAGAAAACCGGTTTATGTCATCACTGGAGTAATCTGAGTAATTCCGGGCAATGCCTGCATTGGCACACCACTACTGCTGTGATCACGTTTTTCATGTCTCTAGATTAGGTTACCTGTACCAAAAGCAGTCTAATTCTTGTCAACATGCCACCAATACCCACCGGTAAGACGAGCCGGCGGCGTTAGGAAACGTGGGGGCTACCTAAGACTTATCTGAGCTATTTCTCCTAAAATCTCCGCATTCATTATTATCATCACCAGTTTTTTTCTTGACAACTCGGAACCGCACCCCAATGAGCAATCTTAACAATATCGTCGACCACTAGGCTCTAGATGCAGTACTGTCGCAGCCAATAGTACGTGTTTCAATTTGGAAGTGGCAACAATCATTACAGGTGCACACTATCAACATTCAAAACCGTTACTAGATATCTTACTCCTTGCTACTCCTCCAAGACGTCCCGTGTTGACAAAGCCTATAAAGTTGAAGGCATAGTTGCGCTTTGTAACCATTGAGTCAATCTCTAGTTCAAGTATTCTGGTCGAGAGCCAAGCCGAGCGTTCCGAAATATGGATGGGGATACAAGGAGCGGCTTGGCAAATTCGGACAATTTAGCGGAAGATGAAGAGAGCTCCTCGCACGAGGGCACGCCGAGTGCATTTTCAACTGGCCTGAGTGTACGTATAACAAATTTGAAGCCATTGTATGCATACTACTGACTGATCGTCTTTCGAGGAAGGTCGATGAAAACAACGATGCAAAGCTTGGAGATCTCGATGTGCTGTTCGTCTAAAATGCTACTGGTTGAGTTCTGTTATAACCTTAACACTCATAGGTCGTCAACCGTGTCTGCTAGTTCAAGTGTCTTTGAGTATGTTGAGGAGCATGGCCGAACGTATCACAAATACAAAGAAGGAAGTAAGTCGTCGCGCGCTGACATTGTCAAGCCAGTCGTTAATTTTTGCTTTTCTTTTAGAATATATCTTGCCGAATGATATTGTAAGCATGTAACTGAGCTGACTTCATTTGTACTGACATATTTCGCAGCCTGAGCAAGAACGACTTGGTATGATAAGCCCTTCCGTAACTCGGCAGTGAACTAATTGAGTGCACGTAAGACTTGCAACATTCAATCGCGGTGAGAGTATTTGGCAAATTAGCTTTGGCCCCGATCAAGAAGCCCAAACGTGTCTTAGACATTGGCACAGGTTAGAATTCGACTCAGATCAAATCACGCCTAGCTAAACTTGGGATGTCAGGTACGGGTATATGGGCGGTTGAATTCGGTAGGAAACACCGTATATTTGATCAGAGTTGATTCATTAACCTCATTGAAGCAAATGAAAATCCAGAAGCAGATGTTCTGGGTACAGATCTCAGTCCTATTCAACCACCATAGTAAGACTGACTTTGTTAGAGGTGCGTCCACTGTTGACCATCAAACAGTTTGCCGCCGAATTGTCATTTCGAAATTGATGATGCCGACGACGAATGGGTGTTTGCTCATTCATTCGACTATATTCATCTTCGGTTTATGTGTATGGGCTTTAGTGACTTCACCAAGATTTTTGTGTCCTGCTTCGATAACCTTATCCCTGGAGGGTATGTGGAGGCGCAAGATTACTTCTTTAAAATACAATGTATCGATGATTCTCTTCGCGGAACCGCCCTAGAACGATGGAACAACCTCATACTCGACGCTGTGAGCCGGATAGGTAAGAGTGGTATTGCGGTCGCTCGATACAAATCTCAAATGGAAGCAGTCGGCTTCGTGGACGTCGTCGAGCGAAAGTTTGCTCTCCCGGGCAATCCCTGGGCCAAAGGACATAGTCAAAAGATGCTGGGGCTCATGCAGATGACAAATATATCAGATGGACTGCACGGATTTTCTATACATGCATTAACCAAGATGGGTATGACACCAGAGGAGGTGGAAGCGTTACTTGCCGATGTGAGGAACGATCTGAAAAACAGACATATTCACTTTTACTATATTGTGTAAGTTTTGGTCCTATCAAAATACGTGATTGACTACTGACACGACTAAAGCATGTCGGTCTATGGGAGGAAGCCGTCTTAAATCGCGGGAGCTCATGCTTAAGGTGTTAAACGTGACGGACGCTCGAAACTTTTCTAAAATTTTGAGTCGATTGACCTGTGTTCCCTAGAATGAGCAGGCAAGCCGCAAAGAAGTAGTAATAAAGTTTTCTAACTCATTATACACTTGAAATGATCATATCAACACGATGTAATAGTTTGACTACCAAGCCATGGCCATGTGAAGCAAGATCCGATGAATCCTATACTAAAAATAGTATATACTTGTTTTGAATTACATCATATTGACCATAATAACTCCATATCCAATATGCAGACCTGACTTTCTGACGGATCTTTCTCCCAAAATAGGGACCTGACCTTACGCCCTGTAACTTTCATGAGTACAGGTTGGTCACATGTCATATGCCATCTAGGTAACCTCCCATGTTTCCCAATTATGGTCAAATTGCATATCAAAATCGAAGAAATCACTCCCAATCTGCTTGGTGTCAGCAATGGTGCTTTAGCATGGTTTATCATGCACTAACATCTGAATATTCGCCGTCTAATACCCAACCTGACAGCTTGTTCGTGTTTTCTCCGGGCATGATGTTCGTGTTTGAAGGATCCATCGCCTAGAAGTACGTATTAGCTAAGAACTTGAGCCTTGGTTATCTCAATCACAGTGAATGGTCCTTTTCGTGTTGTAGAACACATGGTAAGGAGCCACACATACGTAGGATTGACTTGACATATCTTGAGATTCTGTATCTTGCTGGCTCGCAAGAGATATATGCTGTCGTCCAATGTTTTTGTAATGTAATTCTAGAAATCGTTGTGCGCAATAAAGCTTGGCCGAATGCCAGGTCTCTCTTCCTACGTGAATCTTCAAGAGCATTATGCTTGCACACATTGTAAGGACGCACCAGGGTTCACCATAAAAACAATTTAAATACTTTTCCTCTATGAAGGGAAGACATTGTTCCATCAAGTCAAGTGTGGCTGTAGAGTTCGTCATAATGATAGATGTGGAACCTTCTCTCAGTGTTAGAAAATCGAGATGGGTCAATAGAAGCCAGCTGAAATACTCGAAAGACGTAGACTTCGGGAGAAGAATTCAGACTTGACTTACGTGGTGACTCTAACATGGTGATGCGAGTAATCGTTAAAGAGGCGAAAAAAAGGTCTTCTCGCAAGGATGTTAAGCTCTGTAAGCCTGAATTGGCTAACTTGGTGTTCATGAGAAGCACATCTCGCGCTATGTGATAACAAACATTTGCTGAAAGCCAAAACTCGCTATTCTCTCTCCACAGGTAGGGTCTATGAATTGTGAAGAGACACTCCTGAAGCTGAAAGTGGAGGAATGAGTATGAGAGAATGGGCAACTGCTGTTCATGTCCATCCTTCACATCGTCGATGTCCCATGACGGCAGCGAATGTATTGCTTGGGTGATCTCGTGGGTATATCGCAATACATCTTGAAAATCAATTGTACCAGAAGGCCCAGCATTGAACAATCGCCGAGCTATCCCAAGGCGTAAGTCCCAAGTCTGGGAGCTGTGGTACTGATAGGATGTCGAAGTATACTGTGACGGTGGCCTTGACAAAGGAAGCTCTGACGAAGTCTCGTTGAGATTTTCGTCATTAATATTCATCGGAGTGGCAGAATTTGAATCGAGGTTGTAGAGGAGACTAGGGAGACCATACTCAAATGCATTTTGAAGATCTAGTTCCCGGATTACGACCCAAATTCGCCGTTTCATCTCCTTCATATAAGGACTTTCGGCAGGTGGGCCTTCATCTCGATGCAGATTATCCATAACTGCGTTTTGCATCAAAGCGCCAGTCTCTTGCCAGTACCTCTTCTTCTTGATGATATTCATCCTTTTTGCGAGATAGACTAGACAGGATATCTGGTACTGCTTGAGTTTGCCCTGCTTTGGACTTTGTTGTCTTATCCATTCGTCGCAAGCAGAAATCCATTGAACGGCCATTGCTCGGTACTTTGAGGGCGTGGATTTAGATCCATTGGAAGTGATATATGTACAAGCCGAAATAGAAATCATCGATAGGACGAGAGCAGCCGTTCCGGAATGCCGAGGCGGTCCGGACATCCAGAAGCTGGCATAGTCTTTCTTGAATGTCGGAATATGAACAATACGATGAAGTTGTTCAAAACGATCTAAATATAAGTTGACAAGAATATCTGTGTCATCTTTCGGTGGAAGCAAACTCTCCAGTGAAAAGCCGCTTTCGGGAGGCACACTTGATTTCCATGCATTTTTGTCCATCTTATTCTTATTCAACTGAACACCTACGGGCTTAAGCCATTCATTGAATGACTCTTTGATGAACGGGAAGAGCTGTGGTATCTAGCACCAAGTTCTAGTAAGGGCTACATGGTTCGGCAATATGTATGAAATACTCGGCAACTCACCTCGGCAAAGAATTTGAACAGTGTATGCTGATTGTAATATCCTCGCGGAGACCTGTGTCTTGGGTCCGACGGATTCTCTTGAGTACTGGAAGCAGCGTTTGCGTCTTGATCAAGCAATTGAATGGGTTGTGTGGCGAGACGCGCATTGGTATGATCAAAAGTGCGGAGGGGCGTTTGGATGCTATTACTCGCATTCTCTGTTTGTACTTGCGACTTTGCAAGAAGCCCCTTCAGTTTCAAAACCTCAGCGCGCAAGTCCTCGATCTCGTCGCGATTGCGCTGTGCTTGCAGGTGCACGGATTGACTCCTTGGAATA